TATCGAATTTTGGGACAATTCTACCAGTAGGCGTATGCTATCTTGCCTGGGAACCAATCTTGATTTTGTATTTTGTATATAGAACTATCTGCTGATAAAAATAGAAAAGACGTTCAAAACTCTTCAAATAATCCGTAAATATCTTCACTATTTTGATATGACGTCAGGGGCACTTGCTTCATTCGTAGAAAACGTCATAATTTATTATGATGTGCAAGAAATTTGTTTGACATAACAATTTTCACGTTTTTTCCACTCTAACGCTTAAAATTATCTGTATTAAATACTATTCTAAAAATTGACAGATGCATATAATGAAATCATTGATCATAACCACTCCCAAATACCAATTGCATAATTAAAACTCAATTGAGAGAATAGCACAATCTTAGCTATTCCGTTCTCCTCCTACGAAAGTTCATTTCGAGCCAATGAGCGGAGAGTTAAGAAGATCGTCCAACAGTTTGACCAATCATATCCATTGTTTCTCTGTTTTGGCCCTTGTGTTTATAGTTGATATTTTGGTGAATTGTTGTTTTGCTACAAAATTTTATCATATAAATATGGATAATTTGAAAGAGCAGGTGATGATAAACCAGTTTATGTTAGCAACTGGTTGTGTAGCTGAACAAGCAAAACAATTATTACAGGCCACAAAGTGGCAATTTGAGGTAAAACTTATATTACAATCACACAAATGTAAACATGGCTGAAATGTTTATCTTTTCACCGGGTGACTTTGATTTCCTGGTGTAACACGCATTATTCAAGTATGCTGTGTATGGGCCTAAAAATTGGTCTTAATTGCAAAATACTGTTTATTTCAGGCTGCCTTAAGTATGTTCTTCCAGGAAGCAGTAGTGCCAAGTATTTGTAGAACTTGTAATGGAAACCATGCAGGAGGAAATTACCCAGTGAGTCAATGTTTTTATTGTTATTCTGTTGAAGTCATTGTGATAATTTTGACTGTCATGACTATTTCAGTTTCAGTCATCTTGAAATTTCTGAGATTGTGTATGACATATAATGAATTTGGAACGATCAGTTTTATTTCTATGAGACTTTATTCTGGTATAAGATTGTTGGCCCTCTTGAAATCAAATTTTTATCAAAGATGAAAAGCCAGTAAGGAGAGATAAAAGCATTTTGATAATGTAGTTGATAATCATTCTAGAAATTCATTTTTGTCTGAACTTGTGTTGCATCTTTTATCAGTAAATGAAGATTTTAAGCTTATATGCTGACATAGTACACTGTAACTAAGATCAATGAATTTCACTTCACTGACAATTGATTAGATAGACTCACCTTTTTGTAGAAAATAGAAACTTGATTATCTGAAAGTACAGTCCTGTGTTTCAGTTAAAATATTTTGTATACGTACAAATACATCAAGGGAAATGACAGGGCAAGTTTCAGCTGACAGAGCTTCATTTTTATCAGCCCACATGAAATGGGGACGTATATTGGTGTCACCCATATCTGACAGTCCGTCTGTCAGTCCATCCACAATTGCTCTTTAACACTCTAGAAGGCACAATTCTTGACTGATTTTGACGAATCTTTGTGAAATGTTTCAATATCACCGGTGGAAAGAACCCTATTTATAAGAAAAAATTCGAAAAACATTTTTATATGAGTTCTTGAAGACGCTTTCAATGTTTAGCTTGTAAACACTAGAAGGCATGACTCATGCCAGATTTGACAAAAAAGTTCTAAAAAAGTGTATAAAAAGGTTGAATATTTCATACTGGTGATTGCTACCGTACTGCCAAATATTTTTATTTAAAAACAAAGCTGCCCGTGGGCATATACTACCTTGCTGCACAGTCAAATTAAAAACAGAACGAAAATTAAATTTTCCTAAAAAATGATGCAAAGTCCTCAAATTTATCTTTAATTTACTCAAATGTCAAATTACATGATCTAATATGATTAATCAGTAAGACCTTATTGATGTCAATACAGGTACATTAAAATTTGGGTTCTAGAAATAAGTTCTGCCATATATGCCAGATATGTTCTCTTGTATAACATGATATTTTAAGAATAAGACACCTCTTCTAGTGGGTAACTTTAAAAGCATCATCATTTCTTTCAGTTGTGTACACCAGCTAATACCCCAGCCACTCCACCAAATTTTCCAGATGCTTTAAATGCTCTCTCTAGGCTATCAACAGCAGAAAAATTCAGTGCTTCTCCATATGCTTCATCACCTCAACAAATGTCTCGATCGCCAAAAAGTATGGAGGTGGAAGCACAGCGCTAAAAAGGAAACATGAAACCATGGATCTATAAATTGGGGAGAGAAAGTGAGATAATACTGCCAATAAACAGTTGATTTCATAAGAGATCATGGCTGATTTTATTATAATACTGTATCTCAAAGAGTGATAAGTGACGTTTTAGTGCTAGGGCCAGTGATTTGCCTGCTATATTTGCTTTTGTTTGGTAACTTGAATAGTTCAGTCCAGTTAAGTTGCCTACATTTTTGATGAAATGTGGATATTAAAGGAGTAAGCTATTCATACCAATTGTGTTCCCCTGCCCTTGTTCCTTATTAGTGATTGTCACTACTTTTACTACCACCCTATACAAGTGTATATTATTAACTAGTATCACCCTACCAGTTACTTTTTGGAGATTTCTAAAGAAAAATACGTTATTTTAGCACAGATTTCTATGGTGTATTTCTAATTGTGAAGTGTGAAAGCAGAGGAAGTTGTACTCAGGAACCATTTGTTTGTTCATTGTACAAATTATATCATATCAGGTTCTAACTGATTAAGTGGGTAAAATGCTGAAAAAGTACAATCTTATTCAGTTTGATATTAATCTATAGGATGTAGATTATAGTTGAATTCTTCAGCGATAAAGACAAATGCTATTAAACTATGTTTGTGATAGAAGTGAAACCTAAGACAATACCCCTTCCTATAATTGATAATGTGAAGATCTGAACAGAATAATTTTAAAGATACAAAGCACATTGAACTAATGGGTTTCAAATAGACATTTATTTCAATTTAGATATTTTTTATGTTGTTAAGAATTTTGGAGAAATAGTATATATGATTAGTGTGTTGTATGAATGATAGAACTAGTTTTAAATGTGTGAATTTATTGTGTGTGTTGTATTTTAGTGTTTAATACCATATTTGTTTTGTATTTTCTATCATTTATTAATTAACGGAAAAACACTGTTATTATTCTTCAAGACATTTCTCTTATCTATCGTTTTTACATGACAACATTATGTCAGTAGTTTCACCAATATTCCTCAACAAAACAGCTATTTTACATTGTATATTGTCATTCTTCATTAAATTGCTATTTAAAACATCTCTTTATCTTGTGTTTTGTTTATATGAAGAATAAATATAATTTACTGTGTGCTGTGTACATGTTTATTATGAGTATATTCACCTAGATGTATCAGCTCAAGTGTACACTCTACAATTAAGTGCCTTTGTATTATTAATTGCAACACTAGTACATACATATAACTTTCCTAGAACTTCCTGTCAGATTTTCACTAAATTGATTAGGTATTATAGAGATGTAAAAGATTTGTAATGTATAGAAGGCATACATAATTCCTAATGAAAACGGTCTATTATATCCTGATTTTCAATAATTTAAACAGTGTCAGATATTCAACACAAGAAATGTTCCAAGTAAGCTGTTATGTTATAGTATCGAAGTGAAGAACGTTTTATTTCTATGCTTATTTTGGTCATTAACGTACCAACTATCCCTATAAGGGTTTTACCATAAAGCGAATATAACTTATCAGTGGTCTAGATCTAACCTACCATTTAAGATATACACAAAGGTGATATAATAATTATTGACAATAATAACACTTTCTATTATTATTTATAGTAATAAATAAAACTAGGCTGAACTAAATACTCGATATACCGCTTAATTCCCTTTTAATTCATAGGTACAAAGGTCACTCTTATTGTTGACGATAAGCCAGATGGATTTTGAATAGATCTACACAAAACTCAAACTTGTTTATTACCGCTATTGCCAAAATATCCTGGAACATTTCCCAGCATTTCTCTATTCTTAAAAAATATTGTTCGAATGTTTTCGCTATACCGACTTATTTTGGCTCCATGCCATTTAATAATAGAGGTTCTTTCAGATTTACTTAAAAACTGATACATTTATATGTGCATCCTTTGTAATTATAATGAAACCAGTTTTATGATAAGTAATGACAGTCATGTCACATTCAGTGCAAACTTCTTTTTAAATATGACAATATCCATGCCAGATAAACCTGAATTTTTGAGTAATTTACCAGTTATGGACGGAAATAAGAGGCGGCAGTAAACATTTGAAAAGACTTTTTTCTTTCTAAAATTTGAGTACAGTGCCTTGTGGATATAAATTTGGATCGCTGAAGCCCTTTATACAAACCTCTCCCTCGGGGTGGATGTTGCCCTATGGAAAATCGCATGACTAGTCTTGATGAAGGAATGTGTTTCGCAACAATATCTGCTGATAACAACACCGGTTTATCTGTCTAGGTAGAGGCCACACGAGTTATTTGATCGACAAACTCGGTGGATACGCTCTGTTTGTAAATATTTATCATTAAGGTCATGTTCACACTGATTTTCAAGAACATATAACAGGCCTGAGTATATTGATAGTTTGTGGTATCAATCAATATAGTTATAGCGTATAACACCTGATCATGTCTGTTAATAAACAACCAGTCTTATTATAAGGTTTGATTAGATCTTACTTGGTCTGAAAATAGATGTACAGTCTGTATGGATCTGCTAATCTTGAAGAATCAAGTTGTCAAGAACCACCCCCCCCCCTTTTTTTTTCACACACTCGCCAAATTAGTTTTTCAGAGTTGGTCTTTGACCTCGAATTTCGGCCTATTTTCCTTTTTATTCCAACTTCAATGAATATCTGACGCAGTAGACGTAGAGTTGGCATAAAAAGTTGGTTTTAAAAACTCCTCTTAAAGGCTTATCGTGGTGTTTTTTGGATCTGAACTGTAATGAACAGTGGTGGAATAGGCCTATTGATCTTGCAGTAATTTCTATTTCTATTGTGGTTTGTTTTGATAACAACGTAACGATCAATAATACAGTATTTAAATGGTTGATGTAATTTCTATATATATAATAATAATAATCTTATTAACCTAGAAATTTAATAATATAAACACGAAACCTGCTTCAAAATATTATGATTATATTATACTAGGCCTATAGATAAGGTTGAGACAGATAGTCGTTTTCTCTATATACAGCTTCGCTATGAGAGTATTCGGTCAAGGGCATATCTTTCCTGTTGTTTTGACGTTTGGTATACAAACATAAATATATAGATATAATTATAGTCAGTAGGCCAAACATACTTCTTAACACGTACTAACGTATAACCTTAATTCACTGAAATAATTTCTAACTGAACAATTTTTACTCTAAAGGAAAAAGCGTTGTATATCTTTTGATGTGTTCAATGGGCAGGATGTATGGTCTTTAGACCTAACCAGACGAGACCCTATTTGAACCCCCAGGTACGCACTTGAGACTATCAATGTATTTCATTTCTGAGAATTTTATATCCAATAAATCGATATCGACATAATTCTTAACAATATATATGTCAAGTAAGTTTCTTCGACTAATCCTGGAGAAGAATTAAACATAAAAGCTTTTAAATTAATTTCTAGCTGTATGTCCATCAAATCAGTTCAATAATATGAAGCCCGTCTGATTATCATCACTGTCATTTTGGTACTATCAGTGGTAACATTAATTCAAAGGGTTCGTACACACCACTTTTAGTCTGAAAGAAATTATTTAATTTTCTTTAGAGGTTTGCATTTTAACTAGCTTTCCTCTATAAGATATACCTATTCTCATTCTAATCTCGGTGGGCCCAAAGATCTCAGGTAGATAACACCACATTTTTTTAAACCGGTAGTTAATTCCCTTGCATTGTCAAAATGCTTCTTGTACAATTCATTCAATGGTTAATTAAGGGGAAATAACACCTTTTAATTTAACTGAAATCGGTACTACCGAATTGTACTGGACTTACCAATATAAATATATAGTCATGGCAACATCATTTTGTGAGTCATGCGTTTTACATAACATATTATTAATCGATAAATTCATCTCAAATAGGTGAGATTCCATTTAAATGTCAAAGTTATGCTTCAACAAATTGTACGGCCCATTGGGAGAGATCCTTCGCCATGAATTACTACGCGTATGAAGATCCCTATCCCGTCAGAAATCTTACTACTATCGCCTGTTGTAGGTAGTGCAAAAGCATAGAAAGTACATTAGGTATAATTGACCTGCTGAGTCTTGCTGGCAATAAGTAGCATGTAAAAATCTGTCCCCACCTGCACAATAAGTCGAAGGATAGGTTTTTTCCCTTCTTCATACAACTCCGTAAGTTCAGTTTACCCCTCGACTGTATAGTAGTACCGGGTGAGCAAAATATCCGACAATAACTTGATGGATTCATAGATGATTAAGCTTTGTATAAAAAAACAAAAGTTTTGCCAAATTTGGCCTCTGACATAGTTAAACTTCTGAAAATCGACCGATCTAAAATGAATAGGTGCAACTTCCATAAAATGTGACCTTTGAGTCTGGCCCAACCGTATATCACGTCGAGGAAGGATATTGTCTAGCTATAGCGATAAGAGATCGAACATCATTTAAAATAGTTCATGTATATAATTTAACCCCTTTAACAATATATTATATTCGATTATAGGTAAATAAGTCATCATTTATATCTTACATTGCACGCAACATTCAGTCTAATATTTGGTTTAAATTTAAGGTTTTTAAATTGCTGTAACTGTCTATTTGAGCACTATATTGCAGGTAAATATGAATAGACTGGTTTATCACAACATAAACGCTCCAATCCGTGGATTGCTCATGACCAACTAATTGCCTGCATTTTTCAGTTCATTTAATAAAGCTTATTCTCCCGGATTATCAAAACATCGGAGGTAAGAGGATGGTGATTATCTTCTTATCGTTATCTTCTCACCAGATATTCCTTTCCATGGCTCATTTATAGATATTGAATCAGCACCATCTGTAGAGAATGTTGTGTCTTTACCATCACATGGTATGAAGAATGATGATAACGGCTTACCGATTGGTACAACCTGAAGTAATGTTAATCTTGTTTCTGTTGGAGTGACCTTCAAACGGATTGTTGACTGTCCAAAAGAGGCGCCCAGAAGATGTAATATGACTGAAGTATTATCTGATGTCACGTCTGGTTCAAGCTCCACCTCTTCTATTGCTATTTTTGGTTCTTGAGTTGGATTTGTCGATCCTAAGATGAATGCAGTTGATTCTGATACGTCGACTGTCGATGATGGATTGAATGTACACGACCCAGAAGAATCAAGAACTAATGATGGTCCTCGTGTTCCATCAGTACTGCCGGAAGCGAATGGTGAAAACATCATTCTTGATACGTCAGTTGTTGTTGTTGAACCATTCAATCGGAATTTCATTGTCGGTGCACTCTCGTCACTTTGCTTCATTCCTTCGACTTTCACTTCTTCTGTTTCACAAAGCAATGTCTTTTCAGGTGAGTTTGGCGAATCGTATTCGTTGATATTGAGTTCACGTATCTCGAACTTCATATAATTCAGTAGAATTGGTTGTTGAAGACGAGAAAAATCAACATGAATTTCAATATCATGATCATCCCAGCTTGATATAACAGGAAATACCCAGAATTTAGTTGTATCTGATGGTTGGAATTCTTGTTCACCAAGATGAATTGCAGTGTTGCTATCGGAATTTATTGCAGTCATTGATATATTTGAAGGATTGTTACAGCAAGCCCCGATGGTAAATACAGGTTGAAGATTCTTATTTACGTTCAACCCTTCTGATGACATTTTAAAGGCAAGATTTAAGTATGGCATTCTCTTAGGATAAATGGTAACTGGCAACGATCCCCCAGCTGCAGGTTGTGAAATACCATCATCCCTCAAATCATCTTGTACACCATCACCAGTGCAATTTTCTCTCGGATACCCGTCCTCCCACAAAACCTTACTTCCAGAGGACCTTTTTCGTCTGTACTTTGGTATGGAGGGATGGGGTACAGCAAAAGTTACCTCTTGTACAGTAGCCCCATACAAATCAAATCTTACTTTACCATCATCAGAGCATCCAAGGTAATCATTTCTTCTAACAGTTAAAAACTTCTGCTTGGGACAACTAATGTGATAAAGCTCTTCATTTGTTTTCCCAGAGATAGGAAACGGCTGTGTGACAGAGATTGGCAGATCTTTTGGAATTTTGCTATATGGAGGATTAGTAATCATTTCAATCGTTTTAGTCGAAAGCTGATCGGTGTCAGTTGGCATTGACGTTAAACCCTGCAAACATCCGGGTGCCAAGCAGTCGGAACTTGATGACTCTGTTGGGATTGTGCTGTTGGAACTTGATGATTCTGTTGGTTTTGTGCTGTCGGAACTTGATGATTCTGTTGGTTTTGTGATGTCCGAACTTAATAATTCCGTAGGTTTTGAATTATCAGGATTTTGCGATTCAGACATACAATCAGGTGTCATACAGTCGGAACTTGACGGTTTTGTTGGATTTGTTGGTTTTGTGCTGTCGGAACTTGATGATTCTGTAGGTTTTGTGTTGTCGGAACTTGATAATTCTGTGGGTTTTGTGTTGTCGGAACTTGATGATTCTGTTGGTTTTGAACCATCTGACCTTGACGATACTGTTGATTTTGAATTATCTGGGTTTGACGATTCCGAAATACAATCACGTGTCTTACACTCAGTACTTGATGATTCTGTAGTTTTTGTGATGTCCAAACTTGATGATTCTGTAGGTTTTGAACTATCTGAGCTTGATGATACAGGCATACAATCAGGTGTCATACAGTCGGACCTTGATAATTCTGTTGGTTTTGTTCTGTCGGAACTTGATGATTTTGTAGGTTTTCTGTTGTCGGAACTTGATGATTCTGTAGGTTTTGTGCTGTCGGAACTTGAATATTCTGAAGGTTTTGTACTGTCGGACCTTGCTGAATCTGTTGGTTTTGTGTTGTCGGAACTTGGTGATTCGATAGTTTTTGTACTATCTGGGCTTGGCGATTCAGACATACAATCAGGTGTCTTACAGTCAGTATTTGAAGATTCCGTTGGTTGTGTGCTGTCGGAGCTTGATAATTCTGTTGGTCTTGTCTTGTCGAAACTTGAAGATTCTGCAGGTTTTGTGTTGTCAGAACTTGAAGATTCTGTTGGTTTTGTTTTGTCGGAACTGGATGATTCTGTTGGTTTTGTATTGTCGGAACTGGATGATTCTGTTGGTTTTGTATTGTCGGAACTTGAAGATTCTGTTGGTTTTGTATTGTCGGAACTGGATGATTCTGTTGGTTTTGTATTGTCGGAACTGGATGATTCTGTTGGTTTTGTATTGTCGGAACTTGAAGATTCTGTTGATTTTGTGTTGTCAGAACTTGATGATTCTGTTGGTTTTGTATTGTCGGAACTTGAAGATTCTGTTGGTTTTGTGTTGTCAGAACTTGAAGATTCTGTTGGTTTTGTATTGTCGGAACTGGATGATTCTGTTGGTTTTGTATTGTCAGAACTTGAAGATTCTGTTGGTTTTGTATTGTCAGAACTTGAAGATTCTGTTGGTTTTGTATTGTCGGAACTGGATGATTCTGTTGGTTTTGTATTGTCGGAACTGGATGATTCTGTTGGTTTTGTATTGTCGGAACTTGAAGATTCTGTTGGTTTTGTGTTGTCAGAACTTGAAGATTCTGTTGGTTTTGTATTGTCGGAACTTGAAGATTCTGTTGGTTTTGTATTGTCGGAAGTTGATGATTCTGTTGGTTTTGTATTGTCGGAACTTGAAGATTCTGTTGGTTTTGTATTGTCAGAACTTGAAGATTCTGTTGGTTTTGAATTATCAGGATTTTGCGATTCAGACATACAATCAGGTGTCATACAGCTTGGTGGTTTCGTTAGATTTGTTGGTTTTGTGCTGTCGGAACTTGATGATTCTGTTGGTTTTGTATTGTCGGAACTTGATGATTCTGTTGGTTTTGTATTGTCGGAACTTGATGATTCTGTTGGTTTTGTGTTGTCAGAACTTGATGATTCTGTTGGTTTTGAACTATCTGAGCTTGGCGATTCTGTTGATTTTGAATTATCTGAGTTTGACGATTCAGGTATACAATCATGTGTCTTACAGTCAGTACTTGATGATTCTGTAGGTTTTGTGAGGTTGGAACTTGATGATTCTGTTGGTTTTGAACTATCTGCGCTTGACGATTCTGTTGATTTTGAATTATCTGGGTTTGACGATTCAGGTATACAATCATGTGTCTTACACTCAATACTTGATGATTCTGTTGGTTTTGTGATGTCCGAACTTGATGATTCTGTGGTTTTTGTATTGTCGGAACTTGATGATTCTGTTGGTTTTGTGTTGTCGGAACTTGATGATTCTGTAGGTTTTGTGTTGTCCGAACTTGATGATTCTGTGGTTTTTGTATTGTCGGAACTTGATGATTCTGTTGGTTTTGTGTTGTCGGAACTTGATGATTCTGTAGGTTTTGTGTTGTCGGAACTTGATGATTCTGTTGGTTTTGTGTTGTCGGAACTTGATGATTCTGTTGGTTTTGTGTTGTCGGAACTTGATGATTCTGTAGGTTTTGTGTTGTCAGAACTTGATGATTCCGTAGCTTTTGAACTATCTGAGCTTGACGATTCGGTTGATTTGGAACTATCTGAGTTTGAAGATTCAGACATACAATCAGGTGTCTTACAGCCAGTACTTGATGATTCTGTTGGGCTTGAACTATCTGGATTTGATGAGTTATCCAGGATAGATGTCTCCGTTGGTTTTGTATCTTTTGGATTATCCGAATCTTTAAATGAGGTGTTTGTAGGGTTAAACACCATTGTGGGCTGATCTGAAGTATCTTTTCTTGTACTATGGTCTGGTTTCGTGAGTTGCGTGCTTTGTCCATTAATTGTTGATGAGACAGTGGAACAATCAGTTGAAGAACAATCGACAGTCGTAGAGACAGTTGTGGTTGTTGTTGCTTCGGGCAGGTTACGACCATCTGGCTTGCCTTTTTTATCTGGAAATAAACCGTGTTCAATTTAGAAAAATAAGTGCTTTTTTTTAGATATGAAACGGAACAGAAAGAAAGTACGCTCTCGTAAAATTATAGTAAAGCCTATTTCGATTATTTAGGAAGGTATTTAATGCGATACAAAGCCAAACAGAAATAATATTGTTTAGAGTGTTACATAGATAATATTTTTAAATTGATATGTTCGGGTTATTTCCAGATTTTGTATTCTTGGTTTGATTCTCATCATATTGAAGATAGCCTTCGCCATAGAGAACAGCCTGCTCACCTGCTTCCTCGGGACACTTTAAATCCTTAGTAACATCTGGTCGGCTAAATTCCAACTTCAAAGCATCTAATTCCACGCCATATTTATCACCATCCTCGACAACAATAGTAATTTCATGACGTCCTTGTATCAGGTTTTGCGATTCACCTAGAGGTCCAGTAAAGTTGAACTCATTCCATAAACGTCCCCAATTAGATTCGTCAGCAGAGCGAAATTTTCCTATGGGTTTTCCATCAATTTCCACACTTAAAATATCAACCCAACCATCGTTCGAGAAAAATATATTCCTGATGGAAACATCTTGTTCTATTGGAAGACAGAAATCAGTTGTTATTGCTTCATGTTTAAATAGATGAAGACTTTTATAACTGGAGGCACCAGATCTATCAGGAACTCGTGCATTGTCATTTTCCCAGGCGTTGGTAAAGGCAAAGTCTTCAAATTCAATCAAATATTGGTTATTAGCTAGTTGTACTGGTGGTTTTGATGTGACTGTAGGTTTTTCCGTTGGTAGAGCGGTAGTGGGTGCTCCATAGCTTATTCCCAGTACACAAACTGTCAATACTAACGTCAACATGGTGAATCTTCAAGTGATAGAAAAATCACAAAAATTTTACTTTTATATGCTGTAAAACGCCCATCTAACAATCAATTTTGATGTCATCATTACGTGCGAATTTATGTCAAAAACCCGAAATCTGGGTGTAAGGTAAGGTTGTTGAAGGCGGTACTTGTTCCATCCTAAAAGTATTACAAAAATGGGAAAAGTTGAATTAGAATTTATCGTTGTTTATTCTAAGGTACTTATGTCTATAGACTAAAACTTTGAAAATGACTCATTTAGGATGGTTGTTAAACTCAAATATCACATTTAGCCCATAACAATGTGTCAATAATAGAATTAACCAAATGTTTAATTATAAAGGTATTGTATATCACAAATTAGATACCGACTAAGTACACATTTACCGTAGTTAACAAAATATATGTAGTAATGTATCACTCGAAAGGTCTTACAGGAAGTAAAAAAAACGAATCGGACATAATTTTATTTAGTATACTGAATCTGACTAAAAAGTAAAAAGAATACAATAGTATGGTCATTTAAATTTGTACCCTATAAACACTTCACCTACAATTACCTGGTGTTAAATCAGTTGCATTTTAAATTTGGGCAAAATATATTTTGGAGTAGAAGCAGTTACAGGATACTCAATCGGAAAATTTATTTTAAAAAAAGCTGCGTACCCTCATGGCATTCAGTGGCGGCGCCAGTCTGGGGGTAAAAATAAGGGGTAGACTGGCTTAATGGGAACAGCGCCATGTACGCATCCCCTTCGTGGAGTGTTAGAGAGGGTTCTTTTCATTAAAGAAAAGGAAAGAAATGATTTGGTTATATCAAAATTTCTTGAAACCTTTTCTGTTTTTGGGTAAATGCTTTGTATCCATCAGTCATGTCAAGATCACCCTATTTTCAAAAGCTGCATAGCTTAAATTGTACTTAGATGGCATGGTTAAGTAGACACGTATGAAATGCATTTTAATTAAGTTGCACTCTACATATTACATGTTGCACCAAATTGTTAGATATCTCCAACTACATACAAATACTAATATCTTAATCTGTTCAAACTTTACCAGGATCGAACTATTTTAAATTAAGCTTGATAATCTGTACTTTGAAGCTGGTCTCATTCTTGGAATGCTTTATGTAACTCCACAACACTGTAAATTCGTCGTTATGTGTTAATTCGACTCATATCGGCAGAATATTCTCATCGTTCGAAATTCGTTGTTACCTCCAACTTACCAAGAAAGCATCTTACAACCAAGTATCGTGATATAATGCCACATACCGTATAAGACAATCCTGGATGCAATAAGATGGGCCAATAGTTTAGGGCTCAGATTGATCACAATCTATAACCATAACACAATATTCTACATACAATAATACACACAAGGATCAACTAAATAATTTCTTCAACCTTCCACCTTAAACCAAATTCAGTTTTACAAAAAAAAACTCCATTCTTAAGCACCATAACTGAGCTCTGAAGTAATATGTTTGATAATATCTCAAACAACAATCGACCTCAAACATATGATGATTCTGGTTCATCACCTGGTAGTGTAAACGGTAGAGTTTGTAATGATGATGATGAAATATCTTTTGTGATTCTAAACTGTTAGCATGAGAACCAAAACTGTACTAAACACAAGTAAACATTTGAAGTAATTGTATTTATCTTGATGTATGTATGCTAATATGTAACTTATTCAAAGCATTTGAAATATGGATGGGGCAATTAAAATAGGTTTGTAAAATATTAGATGTAATAGTTTCTATTAAACCTTACTTTATCCATACATGCATAATCAAAACAAAAATATATCACTAGAGCCACACGTGGCACAAAGTGGGACTTTACAAATGTAGCAAAATGCAAAAGACTCTGAAAAAATCAACCTTCTACGATAATTACATCACGCGCAAGAGCTGTCTAAAGTTGAGAAGAATTCTTTGGAAGATTGTTATAACGGAAGTAGACAGACCTCACAAATGAAAGTATCAGAAGATAGCCAAGGTCAATGACATTTGACATTGAAAGGGAGACGGTCAACAAAGGTCAAGGTTACGAGATATAAGTCATCAAAATTTTTACGGCTATAAAACCCGAAGTTGAGATAGGACAGCAAAAATAAAAGTATAAATAGATAGCGAATGTGAATGACCTTTATTCCTACAAAAATCAGGGTCAAAAAAGGTCAAGGTCAAAAATTGAAAATTTTTCATTTCAAAAGCTGTTCCTTTTTTTGAACTATAAAGCTGAAACAATCGGACTTCTAAGACAACGTGGCTCAACGGATGAAGTAATTATATGCAAAGTTCCATTTTGAACAAATGTATACGTTGCGAGTTATGTCCCTTGCCAAAATTGTCAATAATGAGTAATTTAACCCGGATGTGCTAGGCCCACCTCAATTTCTTTTGCATAGGTTAATTGATATTCTAAATGTTATGTTGTGTTCCAAATTTAAAGCTTCTACATCATACAGGTCAAAAGATATAGGTCAACAAGAGTCAATAAAGGTCAAAATAGAAAATTGAAAATATGGAAATTTCAAAACCCGTTCCTTTTTTGGAACTATAAAGCTGAAACAATCGACCTGGCCAAAATAATGAGGTAATTATGTGCAAAGTTCCTTTTTGAACAAATGTATCTTATGAATCTTACCTTATGAAGGTCAAGGTCATCAAAGTTCAAGATCACGAGATATGACCCTTCAAACTTTGAACAAATTCAACCGGATGTTGCAAAAAAGCAAAATTGAGAATCGAAAAACGGCTTCCTAATGTCATGATTTTTTATATCTTCTTTCATTTGACACCAAAATCATTTAAATCGGATGAGCCATTATGTCTGAATAAAAATCGAATCATTTCAGAAAAATCAAAATGGCGGCCAAAGTTTCACGTCTGTTCCGGATTTTTTTTTCTTCGTTTTTTTGTCATAACTTTGTCTACCTATCAGCATAAAATTTTTTGTCCTATACAAATTACTCCGGAAGATATTCAACCGGAAGTGAACATCGTTTTCCTGTTTAAACCGGAAGTGAAATTGAAAATTTGACTATACCATTTTGTTTACATTCTTAAACTGTCTTTGCTCAATTTTTTTCAGATTAATCAGACAAAAAGCAAAAAAAAAATGAAAAAAATCAAAATTTCTAGAGCCGATTATCTATTCTTGCACATATTGAACTGTGGCACTTCCGGTTTTGCAAAAAAGATCCAAAATATATTTATGCACATCGTCGCCTATATCTAAGGTTCGTGAGTATATGAGTATTATATCCAATAACCGTACAGCACCAACCAAGCAAAACATTACTGCTTTGAAATTGCTAAGCTAATATTGTGAATCACATTATATTTAACTTCCGATTGCTGTGGTTATGGGACGTGGATTAAGTACGAATCCTTCCAAAGGCATTTGTACAAGATTAGAAATACAATGACGCATTCTAGAAGTCTGTAAGGCCAGTTTCACACAAGTTTGAATATTTCTTTGTTTTTCAAACCTCGAAGACCCACAACCGTTAGACAGTCGCCAAACTGAAGATGTGCAAGAATGACACGGAAACTCATATGGAATCGAACCAGGAGACTCTTATTCAACGACAGATGAGGCAGTGCAGTTGCTACAAGTAAAACATTGTGTAGGAAGACGCATAAATCATCAGTTAGCATTTGAAGGCAGCTCTATCTATATCTATAAGGAACTCACTCAATACATGTACTGCTATTTTATTAATAGATTTCTTCTTGTTTTCACATACCGCCTCCAGTCGTAAAACTTTCTTAGTCTAGCTAGCTATAATATTCATCAACTTAGTAACGTTCACACCTAATATTGGATATTATCTATACCGATAGCCAACTTGATTCTAGTTGCGTTCTAGTCTGGATTACCATTGAATCTGTAGAAAGTTGGGATATTATGTGACCAGTGTTTCAGGATTATGTTGGATTCAATTTAGAAATTTCATCATAACAGGTATACACTTCTGTTTTTTGCTGTGGTAATCAAATTATATACACTAAATTTAGCTACAGGATGATCAAATTACCTACGTAACATTTCCCATATCGATACCGGTAAAAAAAATGTTTGGGCCAAATTGTTTAGATATTATATTTATCCACCATTTTATGTAGTTTTTGTGGCATTTTACTTATTAAATAATGGAAATATAGCAAGTTCTTGAAAAATTATTATGCATCGTGTAAAACAACGTTTTGCTAGTAATTATTATTCTTTTAAAAATGGCGTTTTCAATTAAATTTTGAGCTTTAACCTTTAAGATAAAATTTCACAATTTGAAAATCTATGACGGAATTCTTACATCCCACACAAACTACAGTGAAATGATATTGAGATAATTGTGAATACGCCCAATGATAGAACTGACTGAAAAGAATGTTTTGCCAACTGTTCCCCAGTTGTGCACATTTTCTGAGGTCATAGAGTTTAGACCTTGACATTGGTTACACCCAGTAAAGGTGTTGATTAACCATTTCGAATTCAACAATATCACCCTGGAATATCGTTTAAATCTTAATAGCTCTGTTAATCATCATTTTATTATCATCTCCAGTTTTATTTCATTTGTTTATTCCAATACCACGAAAATGCATCAGTTGCCCAAACTAAAGTTTGGCTTCGAAATAATCTAATCAAGTTATAATTTAGTAATTTGGTATAGTTTCATTTTCATCATGTATCTTGGTAATAGCTTTAAACTATAAGCCTATACATCCAATACATAATGACTTGTATGTCTAAGCTTTTAGACCGTCAGTAGTTTTACAAAATTTGAACAAAGTCATACGTAGAAAACGTTCTAATATAAAATCTACTCTTCTGCCCTTTAAAAAAGAAACACAAAAATTCCTACTTTGAATAACTTGAAATTGTTTAAATTCGTGTCCAAAAAGGACCCAACGAAGAATTGATTTATTTAATCGAAGTATTTTTAAAGTTTTGTGGTCGAAAATTTTGTAACGTTCTCCAAGTACAATTTGGCTCATTCAATGAGAGATATGGAATGCATTTACCGGGTGTGTCGAAATTAGAATACCCGTGTCCGTAGACCCTTGAAACATGATGCCTTAGCATGCAAAACTGAACAGATAACATATTGTCAATGCCTCAGACGAAAGGAAATATTTTGAAGTACAGTGACCAATGAGGTAGGCCTATGCTGAGTATCGAGAACCTTCGAAGAAAGATGACCAGGAAAAATATACTCTCCTTTTGGCTCAAGAATGCAGATTATGATACATACAAATGAAGGCTACACAAAATATTAAGTACAACTGATGAAGGGCTCCTCCCCAAAAACTGTGTCATTAAAAACTTTCTGATTTCCAACGCCCCTGTTTAGTTTATAGTTACTAGGGGAATATTTACTTCAAAATATAAAAGCCGGGTTCCCATATTTTCATTTATTTTTATATATTCCATTATTGGACGGCTAATAGGCTTACCTATATAAATCGAAAGTAGAGGTGTTCTAATGGTTGGGAAAAATACCAATTTGTCTCAAAAGTCAATTATTAACTCGTAATTATCTAATTACGAAGGGATTCTACTAATGATCGGGTCTCACAATTTCAATAAGGTGGGTAACTCTATGTATGCCTTTTCACGGACGAACATTATAAATACCAGCCGAAAAAAAAATTTGAATTAAAATTTCAATTGGTATATTTCCAAAATAAGGGAAACGACGATGTTTTTATTTATTTTCCAGATACACAGTGTATTTAATTACATTATTTCTAACTTACAAATATGCTAATTTTTTATAGAAAATATGGCTAGATTATTACGATCTATTTAAGTCAGTGAGTAAACAAGGATTTTATTTTTCGCTTTTTCAACTGGGTTTCAGTAAATTTGATCCCCAAGCTTTACACAAACTTGGCACTTAGCAGAGTACTTGATCTATTAATTAGGAACATCAATTAATCAAACAATAAGCATGATTTGACCACTGTGATTTTAATACTGTGAAAGAAACTTCAATTAATAACCGTTCTGAATCACTGTAGTTTTTGTCCGTGTCTATTTTAGTTGAGTCTGTGGAGGAGGGAGTTTAAGTCAGAAATACCCTATATATATGGTTCTTCTTAAAACAAATAATGTTGAACTCGTTTTAATTTTGAGAACAAGTTACTTCCCTCAGAAATATATAGAAAATATTTCATATTTTACTTTTACTATTCTGTCTTACATGCCTATATAAAGTTATATTGTTATTAAAGATTATAATCAATGTATTCCTGTTTTACATTGCGATGTTCTGCAATGTGAATATTCTAATGTTGTAGAGATTTTTAAAGTCAAATAAAAGTATAAAAATATAACTAACGACCTACTTCTGGCTTTTGAGCTAAGATCAAAATTTGGTTAAAAACGTGGACTAGGATATTACCAATGACATGTTTCAGATAAACGTTCTACAATTATTGATCTACTTCCGCCATTTCTTTCAATGGTATAACTTATGACCCTATTCAGGTATTTCCTTTCTGAATAAAACTCGAATGATACTTGCACTAATGACAAAGTCCTAATTCTGATATAAATTCGTTTTGAATAAAACTCGAACAATGATAAACGAATGACTTGCATTTCTTAATTTGATTAAAACTTGAATTGTACTTAAATCATTGTACTTATTTTTGTGTTTCTTGATTAGTATAAAAAAAAGTTTTATTGTTTTATTCTTTATTACAGTGGTTTCCAAATGATGTATTTTCTGATAATACTGATTTATGAATAATGATTTGTTTTTAAAAAAGAAAAAAAAGTAGCGTGAAAACTAATAGTTATTTATGTGCTTTCGATATCTGTCAATCTAAAGCTTAACCAAAACAATACGTTATGCACATCTTAATTTTAAATTTTTAACCCTTCCCAATAATGGCTTTAGCAATAAGAAAGGAAATTGTAAAGAAGAAATGTAGCGGCTCGACATTAAATTATTATGACAATATAAGTTATAGAGTATATGTTTATATAAGATACTGTATGTACTGTACTGTAGTAGTAAGTCAGTAAGAATAATATTCCTCTAATGACAACCATTTGTAAACTATCTGCCAACATTTTGTTATGTACAATACTCAAAAATAGATTGGAAATAGGGAATTTGAGAGTTTAATATATAGAGTTATCAAAGTTGGAACATGTTCAACTGATTATTTAAGAAGATATGAAATAACATTATGTAAAAATAGAGCATCTGAGTAAAGTTTGGTTTAGATAGATTATACATAATTCAACTATGCAAACTAAAGGATGGTTCCGTTTAGTCAGTTTTTTGTAATATGATAAATAGATGGTATGTCATCCGACTTGTCAAAATAATTAACAATACATTATGCAATCATTAATCACAATCCCTTTCATATACAAAATAGATTGTGTTTAATGTTAATGAAAGTTAAAACTTATCCCAAATTCTCCCACAAAGTTGACGTTGATGTATCTTTGTTTTCTTTTTCCGTTTTTGTATGGAATACAGTTGCAAATGAAAAAATAGATATAATTGATACGGCACAAATTGAGACCATTTTTACGTAAGCAGGTCACTTTCAGTAAAAATAATTTCCGAGTTGAATACATAACATGTCAACATTGTTGTAAGTGCAGTGCTCCACCCTACAAATCATAACACAATTTTTATCGGAATTCGGAAATTATTAAGGTAATCAAAATACCGATCTACAAGAAGGTAAAATTCACGTAGAATCTATGAACTATGAGTCAAGTCACGCAAAGTATTATTTGGAAAAATGGCGATAGGTAAAAGGGAGAGATTGTAAATTTGATTCTGACATTGGTCAGGTCAGGTGAACTTATTTTCATTCAGTTAATGATAAGTATGATTAGCCAGCTTCAAAGTTTCTATAGAATCTGGAAACAGGATGATCTTCATTTGGCACCAAGAAAAACTTGACCTTTTGTACTAAGAATTCCTGTAGGTCTTTAGGATGATTTCAAGATAATGGTTAGCTAGAAGGTAAACAGCATTCAATAGTAAAATATGATCTGTGTATTTCAGATTGGTAGGGTCAGTGAAGCAGAAAATGGTTGTAGCAGTGAATGTGGAATATATTGGAACTCTGACAATATTCCTGGCTATTCTGTGTAATAAAGTGTCGAGTCAGAGTAGGTGGTTCTATTTATATCTCATAGTATTCTCTATACCTTTACTAATCATCTTTACACCTGTTATACACAAGTCTTATTAACTTATCATACTCTGTAGAACCTCAATATAATTCATATACGCCTATATTTTGTGTCCTGGAGTAACATAGGAACAAGGATTTCTAAAGATTTTCTAGAATGATTTAAATCATTTCAACTCATCATAATGCTTTTTGATAACCTTGGGAATTTTTAAAGCGCATATCACATTATTGTCGATGGAACAAAATGAATATCATGTCATAACAGAAATCCGTGTCTATCGATTTTGTCAAAATAAAATTTATGGTTAAGCGGGATTGCCCGACTCTACACCTTTGGGAGTATATCAACCAATCGTTCACTTGTTGCAGCAATGTCACCATGCTCTACATCTCTACCAGTCTGGGTTAACAAGTTAAAGTAATTTTTTAAATACACGTACTTATAGTTAATATACTGTATGGCAATAACAAAATACAATATACACAACATTATAGCACAAAAAATACCTTCAGTAAGTTTGTTGATTTGTTTACCAAACGCTGAGTAATGCATTACTCTTGCCAAGAAATTCAGTTCTAGAAAACAACACCTCTTATATTTTACCGGCTTTTTGTGCTATATAATTTATCAACAATGAATCTAAGTGCATCTCAGACATTTGGCCTAGTGGAAAACTTATTTGTCTTCAATTCGAACTCTCTATTTTGGCTATTCAAGAATTCTTATCATAAATTTATGTAACCAGTTGACTAAAGAGGACAAGTAAGCCACTGGAGTATACTCTTTGGTATAGATTTACAGAGATCTGCAGTTATGTTTATTTTTTGCACACTTCCTCTGACAATCCTTAAAACTTCTGATATTAGTACATGATCTGCCGTGGAAATGTTTTTAATTCCTTTTCTCCATTAATCTGAAATCTTACTCCCTTGAATGTGTCAAAGTTATAATCAAACAAGATAAATTTTCATGTGTTCACTATTCGATATCATTAAAGATAACGGCAGATGACCTACATATTAGTTTTTCCAATATGTATCAAAATATGCCCTATAGACACCAATTCTAGAATGTTATGTACGACCATTTGAATTTTGTGGTTCAATATAATAGGCCTATCTTGTTATCAGAAATGGAAGTTCTTCAGTTAAGTTTATCAGTTTTAGTGTTCACAGCTTACTGTTGAAATTTTAGCATTCTTAGTCATGTATATCCATAATTATCTGTACTCGCCTTTTAAAAAGACTGGATATTCAAAATTATCTGTGTTCCATATTTCTTAGTATAGACCTTATCAACATCACGTACAATTTTTGGGTACCCCAATGTCAAGGCAGAGGAAATTCTTTGTTTGGGGGTATGCGATTTTCGATCACGTCTTGTACTTCTGAAGACTATTTACATCTAATCAGGGTTTTTATCAAATTCCGAAAATGGTGAACTGTGACCTTTAAAGACTATAGTGTAATGAGGCATGAAAATCGGAACTGGCTTTATCCTCTTCACAACAATGTTATTGAAGACAGTATCTCATACACAATTTGAACGGTAAATGAAAAAGAAATGAAAGCGCCTTGTACACCATATACTTACTGCTCAATATCCTTTTAAAGGCTGACAAGCAATAAGCTAAGGAAATCTTTCGCAAGATCATCCATAATAACTCGCTGATATTGAAAGGTTTCAATATTGTCAAGAGAGCATTTTGAACAAAACGCGCGCATTTAAAATGTCAGTGTTATTTGATTACAGATGGTTGTGCTTTATTGAAGAATGAATATATTATTGACGTATCATTACCAGAAGCACCAACAGGTAAAGTTCTTCCCTCATATACAGCCTTTTTTGATATCTTACTGCATATTTCCACTAAATACAAAACCGGGTGCAATATAATGATCTGTTATACCACATTGAAAGACGTTATAGTTTGCAATCACATCATGGATGTAATAACAGAAAGGGCCATATTCAGCGCTCTCAGATACGACATTTTCCACATTTATTTTGAATTAAAAACTTTTTTTACTTGGTGAAAATTACTATCACCTTGGTGAAAATTAAAGTTTTTAATTCAAAATTAAAAGTGAAATATGTCGTATGTGAGCCACCGTAAAACTTTGACTAAAGTTAGACTTAAGTTGAACTTTAGGTATGGCACCGGTCGATCTTTACGAAAGGCGTGCTTAAATTTAACTATCAAATGTAGAAAATGAAAGTCTTAAACCTAACTTTGTAAAGTTCGACTTTAGCCAAAGTTCAACTTTAGTCAAGGTAAGAGCGCTGCATCCCTAAATCAGTACATTGAAACTTAAACCCCCTGATGTTTTCCATGTCTATCTCCTCAAAGTGATTTCATGACATAACCATGTTATTGAGCGGCTGATGTAGGCAAATCATCTTTCCAGTATTTCTATTTACAGAAAATGGTAATAATTATGATAGAAGATTCCTAGGATTTCGAGGAGCAGTTGGCTCTATAAAACTAGACATAGAGCAAGATGATTCCACTGTTGATTTCCATTCGAATTTTAAAATATATTTAGGAATAGCTGATTTTAATTATGGATTTTGTATAAAACGAATCGGTGACTTAGATAGAGATGTAAGTACATGCATAAATGAGTGATTTGGGATGGCTTGGTAGAAGAAACCTAGACTGGTGATTAGGGATCACATACATCAACAGTGGCGGCCCGATTTTATTATTTTTATTTGGAATTTAAAAATGAAATCATATCTTTGCCCGAATATCTTATACTATAACTGTATTTTTTTAAATTGATAAATCTCGGAGATTCCAAAAAACACACCCAGTTCACGACTTTCCGCAAAATTCATAGTTAATGTTTTATCTTATTATGTTTGTAGGGTAAAACATCTAAATATTCCGATGATAATAGCATATTAGAATATACAATAGTTTGTACAGATTTATCTACTTCAATTGTAAGTATACCGTTCCATTATCATGTTGATGTATTTAATCATTTGTATTGGTCTGTGTTATCATGTGTATTGATTTATGTTATCATTTGTATGGATGTAATTTTATAATGTGTATTAATGTAGTTTTATCTTGTGTATTGATGTATTTTTATCATGTGTATTGATGTATTTTTATCATGCGTATTAATGTATTTTATCATTGATGTATTGATGCGTATTGATGTATGTTGTGACGTGTATTGATGTTTGTTATGATGTGTATTGATTAATGTTATCATGTGTATTGGTATGCGTTATCATATGTATTGCTGTATGTTACATTGTTTATTGATGTATTTAATCATTTGTATTGATGTATGTTACATTATGTATTGATATATGTTATCATGTGTATTGATGTATTTTATCATATGTATTGGTGTATTTTATCATGTGTTTTAGTGTATGTTACATTGTGTATTGATGTTTTTTATATATGTTATCATGTGTATTGATGTATTTTATCATGTTTATTGATGTATTTTATTATATGTGTTGGTGTATTTTATCATGTGTTTTGGTGTATGTTACATTGTGTATTGATGTTTTTATCATATGTATTGATGCATTTTATCATATTTATTGTATATGTCATCATGTGTATTGGTGTATTTTATCGTGTGCATTGATGAAAGTCATCCTGTGTATCATCATGTGTATTGATCTATTTTTATCATGTGTATTGATCTATTTTATCATGTTTATTGATGAATGTTATCATGTGTATTAGTGTATGTTATCGTGTGCATTGATGAAAGTCATTCTGTGTATTGATCTATTTTTGTCATGTGTATTGATCTATATTTATCAGGTTTATTGATGAATGTTATCATGTGTATTAGTGTGTGTTATCGTGTGTATTGATGAATGTTATCCTGTGTATTGATGAAAGTCATCCTGTGTATCGATGAAAGTCATCCTGTGTATTGATGAAAGTCATCTTGTGTATTGATCCATTTTTATCATGTGTATTGATCTATTTTTATCATGTTTATTGATGTATTTAATAATGAATTTTATCATGTGTATTAATGTATTTTTATCATGTGTATTGATCTATTTTTATCATGTTTATTGATGTATTTAATAATGAATTTTATCATGTGTATTAATGTATTTTTATCATGTGTATTGATCTATTTTTATCATGTTTATTGATGTATTTAATAATGAATTTTATCATGTGTATTAATGTATTTTTATCATGTGTATTGATCTATTTTTATCATGTTTATTGATGTATGTTATCATGTATATTAATGTTGTCTAATAATGGTGATTATTATCATGCGGTGTATGTTGATGAATGTTAATGTGGGTATGTTGCTGGTGTTATCATGATGAATGTGTGTATACTTTCATGTGTCTGTGTATATCATGTGTATTGATGAATGTATCCGGTATGATTTATAGATACAAATAATGTATGCATGTTTCTGTGTGATGTGGTATATATATATTTTAATCTCTATCATGTCAATACAGATGTTTGTTTGTATGCTATCACTATATTAGTTTCCCCCATTTCACATTGTACAGAGGTATCAGTACTGTATATTGATTTACCAAATATATTTCAGAAATTTTATTACCCTTTGATAATAAGAATTACAGATTTAAATGATAATCCACCAGTTTTCCAGAATGAACCATACCAGATTACTGTGGATAAGGTAAAAACAAAACCAATATATGCTTATCATGATCTGAGAATTTGTGAATATTCTTTACGCCTTCAAGATTTGCAAGTATATTTATTATATTCATCTACATACTCGCACCAAGTGTGACCTTCATCTAAAGAATCTGTTGAAAAGAAAATTGATGATACGATAGTTTATGGTTCCAATATGTTAGATGGTACAAATATCTAATAGCGTTTTCTTTTAATCTATAAATTAAAGTGATGTATATAAGTTTATGTAATATATTATATGATAAATTATAGTCTACAGTTAATGGCAGTACTCTGATCAGAGTTATAGCTACTGATAAAGATATAGATAAAAATAGACATATAGTTTATGGTATAGAGAGTGGAGCCGGTACATTGGTAAATAATTCTTATATACATAACATTTAACAGAGTATAACAAATAGCTGAGACCGAAATAAAATCCTCTTATTCTCATCTTATAACGCTTCCACTTTCAATTTCTAAATCAATCTCGTACATCATTTTGCCCTTCTGATTTGTTCAGTGATCAAACTTTTGTCTTTCATCCAAGGACATCCACACTAAGATTGGGACTCTTCGTTGTAAGATTTCTTATAGTTATAATGCAAGATATTAATGTATGTTTTTTTTAATTGTTTCAAGGTCATAGATTGAAAACATTTTGGACATAGTTTCCAAAATACAGCATCTTCGCATCATTTTAATATTAGGAGAAAGACTATCCATCGAATTGCACTGCATACTTCAAATACTTTTACATGTAATTTACATTTACTGAGTATACTGATATTTATTACAGCCAAATTCTATCTTTAACTTTTCAGAATGATGCCAGCCAATATTTCCATTTCCCCGTGATCTCCAGCGGTGCCTTATCGCTAAAGAAGACAATTGACACTGATGCTTTTAAAAGTGAAGGCATCAGCTCTATGAATTTGAATATATTTGCTATGGTAAGAACTACAAAATAAAATCATCATATCATAGCTGAGTTGAAGATACTTATGATTTTACCTTAATGCCTTCCCATCTGTTTATTGACTTGTGATATTTTTACCTTCTACTTTGGCGGAATTCTTGGCATCGTCGTTAACCAGGAGAATCTTGTCATTATATAGATATAGCACGAGTAATATCGAAATAATCCTCAGGAATTTGGTTTGTGATCATGTTTCGACTTATCAATGTTGCATACTATAATTAAAGCCAAGTATTTTGGCAAGCTGTAGATTCGAACACACCCTTTTCTCGGTGTATATCACTGACAGCTTGGAATATCACATATTTAACACGAATTGTTGTCCGTCTGCTGTTCTAATTATTGAAAAGGAAATAGAATGGAGTTTTTCCTCCTCTTCTGCTGCACCTTATTGTGCCAAGGAAGACGGTCAACGCTATGCAGTGTGCAATGAAGGAAACTTTGCTAGAATATTGCCATTATCCCACTCTTTGCCATTTTCAACTGTCAGAGGATCTTTCTGCAAACCCTGCAGCAGACGAGGATTCACTTATTAAACTAAATCGTTGTCTATTATATTTTTTGAGGACAACATGCAACTTATGTGAAACATCTACTTTTTAAAAGATCAAACTGAATATCAAGTTTCAATATTATGTTCCCACGTTATGTCTATCCAAATTAACTATTATTCGACTAATATTCTTGATTAAAAAGTTCTCCTAATATCTAGGATATGGGAAGAAAGAGTCTTAGAACAGATAGTTCCATTAAAGTTAATATTAATTTCGATGGTGAAGAGATAGTAAGAAAGATAGATAAACCTGTCGAGGCAGAAAAGCCTGATAGGGGAAGAGGTAAATACAACTCTAAGGGATCTATCCGTTCGTAACATTAAACTTTTAGCAATTTAGTTCCGATACTTGTAGAAAGAATTTAAGAAACCCTCTCAGGATTGATTTTCAAGAGCATGTAGAATTGTATGGCAATGAATCAAAAGGGGCTGTCAAGCAGAAATTGTTCATTTGACTAGAATTCCTGGTATTTCCTAAATCCAGCTGGTGCTTTAATCCACTGTGGGGTATTGAGTTAGGCGTACTGCATTCACATTTTGAGTTTCTTTATTTGATTGTGATGACATACTGTAACTTTCCAATCAATCAGCAGTAATCAATATTATATTATGAACTTAAATTACAGACCATTGTGTATTGTTAGACAGACCAGAGTTTGCCAACGGATCGATCAAAGTAAAACTACCTGAAGTCGTATCATCAAGTGATTTATCAGGTTATACATGTATTTATCAATATTCACTATCATAGATTAGTCAGGAGCACAGCACTTAGAATTATAGATTACGGGACAGAAACATAGATAGCCTTACACACTGCTACTTGTCAATCTGTTGCTAAATTTCTCTGAAACATGCTTTTTGAAAATATCTTGCATGGCATTCAATGGAAATTCTCAGATAGTCAGAGGCAATATTCGGACAAAAGCTAGCCAACCACGAGTTGACCAGTCGTGAATCTGTTGTTAGGCTATCTAAGAATGTGTGGACTTTCTGCCCTGTATTTAAAATTGATTATGTGTAAGATATTATATAAGAGAACCAGCCAGATAAATTCCGGAAATAAAATCATACTGTTTGAAAAGAATCTGAGAGTTCTTACCTTTAAATCATAATTATGTTGGTTAATGTTAAGACAATTAAAATTTAATTTAAAATAAGTAAATCTGGTTGGATCCCTTTAATAAGTCTACGTGTTATGCCCCTCGAACCATTTATTTACATTCATTTCATCATGCTTATGCATGCAATATATGCACGATGAAAACCTTTCAAAACAAAACGCAGATTCCATTAGCTAGCATTATAACATTAAGCTTTTTGCATAATATGTAGTTGAATTGATTTTACCATTTTGTGTGTTTTTTTTTTTTTTTTTTTTGCCACGCACACATTATAGCTATAATGAATACTAATTTCAGATATCTGTAAGCAATTGTGATAATGCCTTTTGATATTTCAGCTCACCCATATAAATACAGAACCTTTATTGGTATAAAGGATACAGTGACCAATATAAATCTAATACCAGATAGTGAAGAAGTTGGTGTAGAATATGTTATACCACAATCTGGTCAGCGTGGTTATTATATTAGAATTAAACAAGTTATAGATAGAGATGTACGTATCAGCAGCTCATTGATGCATATTTTATCTTTGTTTAGAACATTTCTTGATCACAGTTGTAGGGGAAAAACAGTTTCAAATACCTTCCGGTTTCCTATATCAATCGTTTTTCTCTCATGTTGGTTACTTTTGGATTATTTTGATTTTTAGATCACGATAGCACTTGTTTATTTTATTTTGATTGTTCTAAATGTATATGTTTTTGCCGTAGGGGGACACAAGTTCTAGAAGTGACGATGTCAACAATTTGAAATTTAAACTTGAGTGTGAATCTAACGATAGAATTACTGTAAGTATTAGTTTACACTTTTGATTTTTTCCCTGAAGTCCTGCATTTATATCACTTGACAGAGATAAATCTAATTGCGACACGTTGGAAAGTTCTATACTAAATTCTAAAGAAATTGTGCATAGTTCTATATTGGCTGAATAAATCTATAAGCTCCCCTTAAAAGCTTTCAAAAGCTTGGAACCTTTCAAATAAATTGTTATTGTGGATGTACAATACTAACTAGTAAAGATGTTTATTCGCAAAATTATTTTATTTTATCTTTGTCATAAGTTGTAATTAATTGCCCTTTTTGTAACTTCAGGTGTTTCCTCTTACCATCCATATAACTGATATCAATGATAATGCACCAGTGTTCGAAAATGAAGAATCGATAGAATTTTCAGTTCAGGTAAGTAGAGCTATGTCTGTCATATCTGTTGAGGTCATTATGTTAGTTTGTACATCGACGATAGAGCTGAATAATTTGACTAAAAACTATAAAATATTTTTTTGAAAGTCATAATCAATCCAAAGATCGCGGAATTAGGGGAAATGGATGTAATCTAATGGATTTCCTGAAGAATCAATAGTTTACTATCACTATCTCGAATAAAAAAAATAATTAAGAAATTGACAATACCAATATTGTGATGACATAGGTCAGCCGTCAGAATTCTTTTTGTCGGGTATACGGGGCGTGTGTGATCTTTATGATAACTATTGATAGGAAAGCAGAAGGATCAGAAACAACTCAAATAAATCACATTTTTTTAAAGGCTGGTGATGATGAAGACTTGCCACGAGAGGTTTTTAATATCTCTGAATTCTCCTCTGTATCTGATAAAGATTTGGGAGCAAACAAAAGAATCTCTTACAGTATTAGTCCTGTTAGTGATGAAAAGGTAAGAGGTCCGAAATGTATGACACACCATTTGGTCTTTCAACATAATATAGATGTTAAATAAATGATTCTTCATGTAATCTTTCCGTACTAATTCCCAGGATGAAAGTTTGAGGCCATGTTCTTCTATAATTGAAAATGAAATGATAAAACATCTACGCCAGTAATTGAATGCCAAAAGGGAGAATTCATATATTCTATTAAAATGGCATTTCAAGACCTGTGCTAAGAAATTCAATTGTTGTAAATGATGTTATATTTTTCCAGGGAAGTGAGTATTTTATTGTAGATAAATCAGGAGTAATACACCAAGTTAAACATATTAGTGATGAAGAAGGGTTGGATTATTTATATTTTAATATAACTGTTACTGTAAGTTTTATTATTGGATTTATCACATGCACTATTTGATTATTTATGATACAACTATCCGTTATTCATAATTATATATATCCTAAGTTATGATCAACAGAGTTGAAACAAATAAGTCTAAACGTTTATTTTTTCCATTGACAAAAGGCCCAACAAAATATCTTGTATAAATTCATTAGACAAAGTATTTTAATGGATTACGTCTGCTTAATGCTGCTGTGCTTATGATAAAGATATAAATACATGTTTCGGAATGATTTGTTGATATTTTGGTATCTGGGAGTATTTTTAGATTACAGTTTCTAGTTGTTTTTTATATCATAGGACAATGCTAGAAATGTCAAAAAGAGAAAAAGTAGTTCTAAAACAGCTAAAGTTGAAGTGTTATATAAAACAACAACTACAACTTCTACAACACCCAAACCAGGTTTATAGTTTATTTTCTTTGTCAAACAAAAACGAGTTTAAATTTATATCGAATTTATTCCTATCGCTTTCTAAAGTGTAGGAATGAGTACGCATTATATTCGCAATAAGGGCCTATATGAAATAGTGGTTATTTCGTTTATTTTTTTGTGGAAAGCCTTCACATTCTGAAAAATTTCCTTATAAAGGAAGATTCATGTAGGATACTCAAGTGTCATAAATAACAAATGTTTTTTAATAATTGTATATTTTAGTGGTATGTAATATAGATACCAACGAGTTTACATCTCATAAACATGGTATTTATCATCTGGAAATCAAGGAAGTTAAAAATGAACAACACCTTAAAGGTATCCTTTTTATAATACATAAACATCATAGCGGTAGTTATACTGATGAATGTACTAGGTACATGGGTTTTAATGATAAATACTGTATCATATTTCAGATTATACTGATGGATATACGAGATACTTGGGTTTTAATGATAAATATTGTATCATATATCAGATTATACTGATGAATATACGATCTACATAGGTTTAAATGATAAATACTGTATCATATTTCAGATTATACTGATGAATATACTAGGTATATGGGTTTTAATGATAAATACTGTATCATATTTCAGATTATACTGATGGATATACTAGATACTTGGGTTTTAATGATAAATATTGTATCATATTTCAGATTATACTGATGAATATACTAGGTATATGGGTTTTAATGATAAATACTGTATCATATTTCAGATTATATTGATGGATATACTAGATACTTGGGTTTTAATGATAAATATTGTATCATATATCAGATTATACTGATGAATATACGATCTACATAGGTTTAAATGATAAATACTGTATCATATTTCAGATTATAATGATGAATATACGAGGTACATGGGTTTTAATGTTAAATACTGTATCATATTTCAGATTATATTGATGGATATACTAGATACTTGGGTTTTAATGATAAATATTGTATCATATATCAGATTATACTGATGAATATACGATCTTCATAGGTTTAAATGATAAGTACTGTATCATATTTCAGATTATACTGATGAATATACGATCTACATAGGTTTAAATGATAAATACTGTATCATATTTCAGATTATACTGATGAATATACGAGGTACATGGGTTTTAATGTTAAATAGTGTATCATATTTCAGATTATACTAATCAATATACGAGGTACATGGGTTTTAATGATAAATACTGATCATATTTCAGATTATACTGATGAATATACGAGGTACATGGGTTTTAATGATAAATACTGTATCATATTTCAGATTATATTGATGAATATACGAGGTACATGGGTTTTAATGATAAATACTGTATCATATTTCAGATTATATTGATGAATATACTAGGTATATGGGTTTTAATGATAAATACTGTATCATATTTCAGATTATACTGATGAATATACGAGGTACATGGGTTTTAATGATAAATACTGTATCATATTTCAGATTATATTGATGAATATACTAGGTATATGGGTTTTAATGATAAATACTGTATCATATTTCAGATTATACTGATGAATATACGAGGTACATGGGTTTTAATGATAAATACTGTATCATATTTCAGATTATACTGATGAATATACTAGGTATATGGGTTTTAATGATAAATACTGTATCATATTTCAGATTATACTGATGAATATACGAGGTACATGGGTTTTAATGATAAATACTGTATCATATTTCAGATTATACTGATGAATATACTAGGTATATGGGTTTTAATGATAAATACTGTATCATTTTTCAGATCATACTGATGAATATACTAGGGTATATGGGTTTTAATGATAAATACTGTATCATTTTTCGGATTATACTAATCAATATACGAGGTACATGGGTTTTAATGTTAAATACTGTATCATATTTCAGATTATATTGATGGATATACTAGATACTTGGGTTTTAATGATAAATATTGTATCATATATCAGATTATACTGATGAATATACGATCTACATAGGTTTAAATGATAAATACTGTATCATATTTCAGATTATACTGATGAATATACGATCTACATAGGTTTAAATGATAAATACTGTATCATATTTCAGATTATACTGATGAATATACGAGGTACATGGGTTTTAATGATAAATACTGTATCATATTTCAGATTATACTGATGAATATACTAGGTATATGGGTTTTAATGATAAATACTGTATCATATTTCAGATTATACTAATCAATATACGAGGTACATGGGTTTTAATGATAAATACTTTATCAAATTTCAGATCATACTGATGAATATACGAGGTATATTGGTTTTAATGATGAAGCTCAGATCTCGTTGGTTCAACATGGTGACAATGATATCAATCCTGAGGAATATTTTGAACTAATTGTAGAAGGAAATAAACAATATATTAGATTGATAAAGCCAATAGACCGTGATGTAAGTAAACAACATTCCACCTCTTTTGAGATATCAACATTTGTCCCAAAGACGTCTTAAATCTCACGATGTTAAAGAAATTGTCCATTAGAATAAATCATATCGATTAAAATGAAATAGAACGAGAAAGTTCGAATTATGTGTGTTGGTAATTTTAGGGAGAAACCGAGTCTAAATCTGATGATACCAATCAAGTAGAATTTACTGTTGAGTGTAAACAAAATGGTCCAGTAAGTGTATACATTTTATCATCAGTATATTTGATGTTGATGTCATATGCATAACCAATATTTACTTACGATCATTCATCCTTGATTTGTGTTTTACAAACTAATGGAAAAGAGTCATATTCCTCTATAGTTTAAAAGCAAAGGTTCTTCCAGGTCGACCATGCGACTAGCTGAATTTGATAGTAATTATTTTCTCAAAGATCACAGGCATAGACCAAAGAATCTGATAAATCGCTTGATTTAGTCTACATTAGTGCACTGATGACTGAACACAGTTCCTAATTGTCGACCATTTTTCAATATACGCGCTTCGTTCATGCTAGGGCGACATATCTTTCCAATGAGTGATATGAAATGTATTTCAGATAAAATACTACCCTATTGTTATCCATATTGATGATGTTAATGATAACGCCCCAGTGTTTCAGAACACTCCATATTTACTGAATGTTAACGAGGTGAGATTATTTAGAAGTCATTTTCATTCGAAAATAAAGGCTGACCAAGATGTGAATCTTCATTCTGAAAAGGGTTAAAGCAATTTCCAAACAAGCATGAAACAAATGATTCTTTATCTCTCTTCCTAGCCGCTTATAACGATGGACATTGTCGCTTCAGTTAAACTGTCTCTTCGATTGACTTACAGTCGGATATAAGAATTTTTGGTTCGACAATATATCTAGCCACAACTTCAAGATACGGTACTATAGTTTGAATTTACATGTTTCCTAAAATTCATGTTTTAAAAAAGTATTATAGATTGATGCATCTATTCTGTACAGGCTACCAAACCAGGATTTATAGTGTATCGTTCTATATCAGCTATAGATAAAGATTTAGGTACCAACAGAGAGATAACTTATGGAATAGTTCCTAATCCAAACTTTAAGGTAACGCCAACAATTTTTTTATAACTCCTATAGCATATGTTTAGCTGATGCAACTGTACATCCTTTTAATTAAATAATTTTTCCTTCAAGTGATCCTTATATGGGTTTCTATTCCTCTTAATTGTCTGTATACATCAGTATATACTTCTATATTGTAATATTTCAGCCTGATTATAGTAGTTATTTTGCGATCTCTAATTCAATGGAAGGGGAGATAATTTTAGTGACACCATTAGACTTTGAAAAATTACAGACTAAAGAATTCCAGTTGAACATATCGGCTACAGTAAGTGTTTATAACGTCTCATTATGATGCAGAAATTGTTTTTACACATTCTGAAGTAGCAACTTCAAGATGTTCTTAAGATCTTTTTAGGTTTAATTTCAATTACACGTATATGAAGCTAAAATATAATACCATGTTATACCGTTCATCGCTCTATAATAATTTAACATATTTTGTTTAATATTATTGATAAAGTTGTCCTACTGTGAATGTTTTGTTTTCTTCACCTTTATAGAATAGTGCCCCAACAGTAGAAAGACTAAGTAGTTATACGAGTTTATCGATAACAGTTATCGATAGTGATGATTTACCGCCAGTATTCCACTATAGTTCCTGTAATAAGAGAAATAATGTCTGTTTTAATCCTGTCTATAAGACTGTTGTCAAATCAGGAATTGTTGTAAGTATAGAATCTGGGCTTTCTGTTCATCCATGCCGTTATCATGACAAAAACCCTAAATTATTGACAATACTGCATTCAAGATACCAATGCTGCTTTCTTTATAATTATGACTTGATGTTGCGATCTTGAATGTTATTCAGTCAATTCCAAACAATCAATATACATTACATATTATAGTCCTTGAAGGTGGCGGATAGACCTAGCTTTATTGGAACAACAATTGCTTTGCGTCTAAAAGATATGTTCCAGATATCAATGCTGGTTGTCATCCAAAGGCAACTTGACAAATATAATCATATTGTTATTTACGTTACAGTCAGGAAGATTAAGTGATATTTATCCTGTTCCTGAAAATAAACTGAATGAAACAGTCAGTATTGAAGCTCGAGATCAAGACTCGTTAAACCATGCCATTGTGTTCACAATTGATGAAAGTAAGTATTGATACCTCGCGGCATTTTATTTTGCAGTCGGTATCTTATGCAACCAAGGTTATTATCCTATAAAAATGATAGAGATGTGCAAATGGCAGCGTTTGTGGATAGAGGGGTAGTGACCTCTCCCAAATATTCTGCCGTGAGTGGTTTTAGAGGATTTCTGCTGGTCTTATTGCCTTTTGCACATATTGTGTATTATATTGTTTTCAGGCATTCCAGATGGGTACACCGACTATTTCACTGTAGAAACAACAGGACCCAATAATGACGGTTATTATTCAGCACTGGTTAATCAAGTCAAAATCGTTCAGAGATCTTCGGTTCAGAAACTCAAACTTGTCCTCAAGGTAACAACTTATATTTGTTTTACTTAAGCATTATAATATTTCAAAATGCCAATGATGAAGGCACGAACATAACCTTCAACTGAGTAAACGAGAAAACAGAAAAGCACAAAGTTGTCACAATGCAGATACAAACAAGGTATTGTCTGTTCTCTGATCTTAAGCTACAGTAGAAAGCATACCCCGTGAAATTAAAATTTTAAAAAAAAATCTATTGTAAAGTGCTTTTAATTTTAAAGAATGATTGAAGTGTAATGAAATATATATTCAGGCTACAGAAGATTCTAGTGAAGACAAAATGGCTCGAGCAGAATTAGATATTGTAGTAATACCTTCAAATCTGAACCCACCCCGTCTTGTCAGTTCTTCAGGAGAGTTTACAGGTTTTATTGAAGAGAATAGTAAAATTGGTTCGTTTGTATTAAGTTCTTCCAGTGCTGACAGTGACCGACTTCAAATTTCTGTTGAAGACGATGATGTGGTGAGTTACTTGTGAATTACTGTATTAAACAATTACAACTTAAAAAGTAAGAAGCACGATCATACAAGTATAATAAATGTTTTGTAATTAGACGAGCGTATCTGAATGTTGAAAGTTGCCATGTGGTATTTTTTTTAATATATTGTATATTACATGATTTCAGCTTCCATCCGATCCACCAAGAGCTTACGACTATTCTATCAGCCCAGATACCGTGTTTGATATTGATGATGAAGGTTTCATAACAAATATAGCAGCAGTAGATCGTGAAAAAATGTCACAATATTCTCTAACGGTAACATCAACTTCTAAATACCTTTTAGACTGAAAAAAATCTGTTAAAAGCATTTCAAAATTAGCATATTTTGTGAGATTTCTTTTGTCGGAATTCCTTTTTAGTGCCATTAGATTTATTGATTTTTATTATTATTTTGAAATCTGTTCTTTCAGCTGACTATAACAGAAACTGATACAGTTGAGAAACATAAAGTTTCTACATCCCTGGTTGTTTACATTCTTGATGTCAATGATAACGCACCAATGTTCACCAGAAAATCTGTTAAAGTTAACATTACAGAGGGGGATTATTCCTTTTCACCCAAAAAACTTGCCTTGGTAATAATTCGTTTATGATTTCATTTAAAGTTATTATCCAGAATATTACGAAAAGACTTTTTAAATAATTTGTCTTTGATATTTTGTAGCCTATAAGGAGTTTTGTAATTGCCAACATACAAACTATGAACAATATCAGGCAGAACCCAAAAACACATTTACCTGGATCATATAGTACTATAGTACATCTTAAGTACTATGCTGATTACATTACGAGTAATACCCATCGGAATGTAAGGAAAATGCTTATAAGGATTTGAAAGAAATACCAACATTAGTTCTTTACGTTTTTTTTGCTTCTACACCACTTACATAACAATTATTGATCCCACAGAGTTGTTTTTATTGTTGGACATCTATGTGTAATATGGCTGTTTATTATAACTAGGTTTCAGCGCTAGATGATGATACCGAGGACAGTGGTAAATTAACATATTCAATACTTGATGTACGACCTGAAGGGGAAGAAAATTTCAAAATAAATAAGGAAACAGGAGAACTTACTGCTAAAGGACAACTTAATGCCAATATACTGTATTCTATAAGAGTTCAAGCTTCAGACAATGGTGATCCTCCCAGGAGGTAAGCTTGTGCATGATTAATTTAGGTTCATAATTGATATAGCGATACTGGGTTCATGATTTCTATAGGGGTGATGGTTTCATAATGGATTCATGAATTATAGAGCGATAATGAGTTCATAATGTATATAGCGATATTGGACACAATAAAGGGATAATGAGTTCTTAATATATAAAGGAATAATGAGTTCATAATGTATATAGGAATAATGAGTTCATAATGTATATAGGAATAATGAGTTCATGATGTTTCTAGAGATAATGAGAAGGGGGTGAAGGGTTTATAATGAGATGAATGATCTGAACAACTTGATCTCCTGATTGTCTGTCACACTTTCTGTTATTTGATCTTTTGTGTTACAGTTCTATGTCTGTTATTGAGGTAAACACGGTACCCAGACCAAATAGTGCACCGTATTTCTCTAAAGATGCATACAAATTTAACATTCCTGAAGATTTTGAAACCGGAAAACATGTCTTTCAATTTGAGGTAGGCATTTTCAAGTCCCATACAAAAAACGAAATATTTTGAAATATACATATGTGTATAACTTAAAATGTCATATAACCGTATTCATTTCTCGTGTTGGTTCTTTTATTTTTCAGGCCTTTGATCCTGACAATGATGAGTTGAATTACGCTATTACTAGTGGTAATATTGGTCAAACCTTTTCTATTGATTCTTCCAGGTAAACAGAGTTCCTTTTTAACCATTTCATTAAAAGCTAAAAATCTGTCGACCTCTGACCTCTATCACAAAAATTGGTATTTCGTGCTACGGTCATTGATGTTGCTTCATCCTCAGTAGGTGATCATCATTATCGTCGGTAGTTTAATTGTTAAAAGCACCAGCAGCATCCCCAACATTTCTATCAAGGGTATCCTGTTTTCAAATCATAGTAAATGATATGTTTATCGCCAACTCTTCAGATGTAGAGGTTGTACCTTCTGCTTTCCCCATCACGATGGATGTCATATCATACATGTTATAATGACTTTTTTCAGTGACAATTCTGGAGAACTGGTAGTAGCCAATAAAGTGGACTTTGAATCAATTCAGTCTTATGATCTCCTCATAACAGCTACAGATAAGCGTGGCTTGGTAAGTTTCATAAGTGTTACGGGAACCACAAACGTCAGGTGGGAACTGAAAGCGGTGCTGTAGATAAGTGTACACAAAGTGCAAGTCCCTTTAAAATCTCTTGAAATCCTATGAAATGATGCATTTTATACCTTTGATATTTCAGACTGGTGAAACAACTGTACATATTAATATAACTGATATTAATGATAATGATCCCATCTTCTCCAGTGATGTTTATGAAGGTAGTTTAATAGAAGGAGATTATTCCATCTCACCAAAACAAGTATTGATCGTAAGTAAGATTTCTGTCAAGAACTTTTACACACGGTAAAACTTGATCATCCGATCAAATCGTAGATTAATGAGGAGTTTTGTTTGTGATCATGAAAACAAAGGCAGGACATTTACTTACATAACTATCTCTCTAAATATCCTTCTTCAAGTCATTTATCAAATCCCATATAAAACCCTTAAACACTAATAGCTCTTGGCGGTTTGACAAGAAGAATGTACATATACGTGAAAGCTAATAAAAAAAATTCCGTGGTGTTCTCCAGGTGAAAGCCGAAGATGAAGATAGTTCATATAACGGTCAAGTAGAATATGCTATAACCAAATCAAGTCCTCCAGAACCAGCTATATCTATAAATTCTGAATCAGGTGCTATAGAGGTTAATGGTATCGTTAAGGGTGGAACAGTTTATACAATGACCGTACTGGCTAAAGACAAAGCTCCAACTCCTAAATCGTAAGTCTTCATATAGATATTCCAATGTACACTAATATCCATAATATTTGCAAACCATTGACTCCGAATGGAAATCATTATTAAAGAGTAACTGATACAAAGAAAGCTTGCTAGATTCATGATTTTCATTAAATCAATGCTGCTATTTCATGATATATTTTGCAGGTCAACGGCCAGAGTAAAGTTAACAGTTATACCCAAAACACTAGTTAATAATGCCCCAGTCATACCTCAATCTGATTATACTGTATCTGTTAGTGAAGGTACAGCTTTATCTAGTGAAATAGTACAAATATCAGTAAGTAACTAATTAGTAATATTTCCTAAAAACAATTCTGAATGTTCCAACAATAGTTAATATTTTTTCGTTCTTGTTGTTTTGGAATGGAGTTAGTAATGATAGTATACGTATGTTGGTAATTTTGCTGCCTTTCAAACTGTTTCTCGTGGTGATGACCTCATCATTATATCATTTTAGGCTTCTGATCCAGATAGTGATGTACTTACGTATAAAATTGTTAATCAAATTCCAGAATCGTCCGCCTTCCAAATAGATAAAAGGTATATTTTAGATCAATCTTTTTCTATATTAGTATTTTCTATTACTAGGTTAATATGAATTTTACAATTAACAAGTACAATCCGGGTGTATTTTCTCTATATTATGATTGTGCACCAGAAACTGTTTGATCAGATATTTTTTTCTTAATTTAAGTGGTATCATATCCAATACAGAACGTTTAGATAGAGAGGAGGTAGATGAATACACATTACAAGTTGAAGTTACTGATTCTCAAGGTTTGGTAAGTTTCAATTTTTTTCTTTTTATTGCATTATTCAACACATTAATTGATAGATTTTATATCTTGATCTTTGGTGCGTTTTATATCTGCCATTAGTTTAACCAGAAGTTCAATATTTTATATATATTATATATATGGTAACAACAGCTGTTAAGTATTGAAATGAGTTATGAAAAATTTAATGTTAATTTCAGACATCAGACACCAAGGTAGTTATTAAAGTTACAGATATGAATGATAACCGACCAAAATTTACTCATAAAAACTATGTGTTTAGTTTGGTTGAAGGACAGATGGGCCAATTTGTTGTCGCTGTAAGTATATTTTAAGACTCGTATATATTAAAAACATCGTTTGTCAATAGTGGTTTTGTAATTGTAAATTATTTGATTACGATGTTGCTACTTTTCATGTAACACCATTTAGTCAATTTCAAATAATTCACCTATTGTTTTAGGCATTTGACAAAGATGAAGTTGAAACTGGCAATTCATTAGTAACTTATAGTTTTAGTGAACCAAATGACAAGTAAGTCAATTAGTTACATGTACAATTATTAGACCTCCCGTAACATACTTCCCTGATCAGTTCCCAAAACATCGGATTCCACCCTATTAGATCGAGCTCATAGATAAGCAATATCTAAATGGTCCTCAACCTCGTGGATCATTCAAGGTGTTGCTAAAAGGTATACGGGAATGTGTAGTTGTTATCCTTATCAATACATTTGTGCATGTATCTTATTGTATTTCACTACATATTTATAGATTCGACATCAGTTCAGATGGTAAGATCACAACAAAAGCTCCATTAGATCGTGAAGAGAATGAAAATTATGAAATGATTGTTGTAGCATCTGATAATGGTTTACCTGTAATGACATCAACAGCTAGTGTCAGGATACAGGTTACTGATACGTCGGATTCGGTACCAATATTTAATCCTTCTATCTATGAAGTACAGGTACCTGAAGGAAAGAGAAACTACCCAGTTGTAACTGTAAAGGTAACATTACACAGGATTTATTTCAATTAATGAAGAAAATGTATCTTTCTGTAATATTATTTTAACGAGATTGTAAATGGTGTTCCGAAATACAATTCAATTATTATTATTAAGTTAAATTTTGATTGCTATGTAGAGATGTTACGAAGGAACATATAGTTAAATGCGACCGAAGACTTTCTATTTTATAATACATGTATTACTAACTAATATTCTTGAAATGGTTTTTATTGGTATTTAAATAAATTTTCAGGCCATGGATGCTGATGTTGTAAAAAACGTCATTTATATTTTTGAAGATGGTGACACATCGGATTTCACTATAGATTCTATCACTGGTGAAATAAAAACAAGGAAGCCATTAAATGTAGCGTCCAAATCATTCTATTCTTTTACTGTAACAACAACTGATGGACAAGATGTGTCTTCTGCTCTTGTATCAGTGACAGTTGTGGTACGTATGAGCATATTTTAGCTACAATTACAAGCATGGAGGTAGAAATGAATAACAATTTCACTAATGGATGGCATCAAATTTGTCCACTCGTTTTACAATACGAGTGAGAGCCGTCTCATTTTAATTCTATAACACCAGTTAACCTTACAACCACTATCGTATTTGGATCTCATTTAATTGGTAATTTTTTTACATTGCTGTTGTATTTTACTGATTAGGGTGAAGATGAAGAAATAGTAAAACCAACTATAATAGTTAGCGAACCTATAATACCAGATAAACAACAACCAACGGGATCTGAAAAACCTCTTGATGTCGGTGATGACAGACCACCAGTCTTCTCCTATCCTACATGCATTGGTGATTGTCGTCGACCGGAATATGCAGTCAGTGTACAGTCAGCTGCAAGTGTAAGGACAGTTTGGTTCTATTTTTATGAAATGGTGGACTTTTCCGCTTTCATCACCTAAGTTTAATCATGAAACAAATTTAACTTTCTTTGCAAGTGGCAATTAAAGATAAACCACAATCATACAATACCACAACATTGACATTTATAATTGTCGAATGATCTCTATTTATTTCTAATTTCAGTTATTTGAATTGAGTTTATTTCCAATGCCGTCAGATAATCCAACACTTACTGTGCCATTAAAAGCTAAAGATCCTAACACTCCACAATCGCCATTAAATTTTACCATTTCTAGAAGTAGGTGATTCTTTATATACCTTATGTTACTTTATAGTTAGAACGACAATGTTATGTATAAGATCCATCATTTGGAGATCTTGGATCACTGTAGGAAATGTACACTTGCGAGGTAACAGAAACAATATGAGAATGCAGAATACGCAATTTAAAACAATACACATGCATGACCTGAGTAGGATAATTGGTAGGACAAACCACTCCCACAACTGTCAAAGTTGTGCATCATGGCGTGATGCAATCTCACCTCTAAGACATCATGGCCGATTTCTCCTAATAGTGAAACTATTTAGGGTGTGAACCAAATCTCTTATATTCTAATGCATTGGTTCTTTTACCTTATTACTTAATATTTTACTTTTCTTCACTGTTTCTAGCTGTTCCAACGGGATTAGAGCGTAAATTTGTTGTTAGAACTTCTGGTCCAGATAATGAAGGCTTTTATAGTGCTACAGTTAAGCAAATAGAGCCTTTGTATGTAGATAAAACGCCCCATGTCGAAGTTATCGTTAGGGTAGGTTTTTGCCTTCAATTATAATTAGTTAGTACTCGCTGTAGACCTCTCAATTCAGATTTGCTTTACAATTTAAAAAATCAAAACGACTTGTGTTCAGACATCCAGGTACAAATGTAACGAAATTATTTTTACATCATACACCACAGAGTTTCAATTATGAAGTTGGGTAGCCTCGGGTACTTATTGAGTATGAATATATTATGTGTCGAGGTCGGGAGATTTCCAGACACCTTTGAACAAGACCTTGCACGATACAGTGAATAACTGTGAAAAGCCAACATTTATGCTTCGATCTGCCATAAACATTTGGGTGGTCTGATTCTTCTTGTAAAAGGTAAAAAAAAACGTGTCTGTCTCTATTTTTAGGCAACAGAAGACAGTAGTAACAAGTTGTATTCAGAAGGTTCTGTTTATATTGATGTGAAAAGATATTATATAATAGAAGGAAAACTAACTGCTGAAAGCACCGCAGTTACTTTATCTCAAATGAATATATTGACATTTTTAACTATTTTAACAATATTTTATCTTTTATAGAGTGTGATATTTTATTCTGTTTATCATTTTTTATCATCAAACCTTTATTTCTGTTATAAATTTAGTATTTTACGTGTTTTATCCGTCCATTTCTCAGAGCAACCATATAGTGTTATAAAAGGTAACGACAATGATTAATTGTCATCCAACGTTTGCAGTTGAAAAACTTATATTGTATTGAATGGACTTCTTATAAAGAAGCTCAAGAAACCTTCTATAATGTGTATATAGATTCACATATTAACGATTAATCTCAGATTGATTTGTTACAAATCATTATAATTTTTTTAAATTTTGGACCTTTGTGCTAAATATATATCATAATATTCGTTTTGGAAATGCTCATCTGTCATCAAAACTGTGAAATTTAAAAAAGGCTTTCAGTAATGTGTACGCCTATTGCTAAAGAATAAATTAATTATATGGTGTATTTCATTTCCTTGTCTTTACATGTGTCCGTTTCCATAAAATAACAGTTTTTAATTTATCGATGATAGGAAACTTCCAAATTAGGTAAATTCTTATAAAATTTAGTTATTTGTGTGCCATGGTCTTTCTTTTGTAACTTTTAAAATAATATTTTTTCTGTCTCTGTAATAATATTCATCGTGTTGTTTATTGAGTTTAATAATATTTATATTATTTATTAATTTGTGTTTGTGTTCTGCTTTTAGTTACAGATGAATTGTACATATTTATATATAGTGTGTAGAGTAACCTGTAATTGGCTCAGTTAGCAGTGTTGTATAGTCTATGAGTTCTAGGGAGTTGTATAATGAATATTGAATAATTCTTGTAAACTGTTTTATACATTAAAGACTGTCTTACCTTTCTTATCATATTGTTTATCTATGGCTAATGTGGTTTTTGCAGATTTTCATTCTTTGGATCGAATCTACTATGAAAGGTGTACCGTATCTCTTATGACGTAGAGGCGATGGTTGGCCTACATCAAAATATGACACCATCTTCCAGATCAAGTACCCCTACAGCTATTTACCACGGCGTGGTAACTTGTTAAATTAGGCCAATGTCACCATGTTAGTCTATGGAGACAAAACATGGTAACTAAATTTTACCAGGTTTTTTTTCTTTGGTAGATTTCATCCAATTTTTTTTCAAATTTTAGCAAAAGCCAACATTTATGCTTCGATCTGCCATAAACATTTGGGTGGTCTGATTCTTCTTGTAAAAGGTAAAAAAAAACGTGTCTGTCTCTATTTTTAGGCAACAGAAGACAGTAGTAACAAGTTGTATTCAGAAGGTTCTGTTTATATTGATGTGAAAAGATATTATATAATAGAAGGAAAACTAACTGCTGAAAGCACCGCGGTTACTTTATCTCAAATGAATATATTGACATTTTTAACTATTTTAACAATATTTTATCTTTTATAGAGTGTGATATTTTATTCTGTTTATCATTTTTTATCATCAAACCTTTCTTATCATATTGTTTATCTATGGCTAATGTGGTTTTTGCAGATTTTCATTCTTTGGATCGAATCTACTAAGAAAGGTGTGCCGTATCTCTTATGACGTAGAGGCGATGGTTGGCCTACATCAAAATATGACACCATCTTCCAGATCAAGTACCCCTACAGCTATTTACCACGGCGTGGTAACTTGTTAAATTAGGCCAATGTCACCATGTTAGTCTATGGAGACAAAACATGGTAACTAAATTTTACCAGGTTTTTTTTCTTTGGTAGATTTCATCCAATTTTTTTTCAAATTTTAAAAAATCATACTTTTTAAGTTACAAAAATATAAATAGTGTGAACATTTCACATTGTTAACACACTAAAATAAGCATTTTAATATCTCTAGCGAAGAAAAATATCCGCCATATTCAATATCGGTGACTATGGTTTTCGGGCATTTTGGATGCTAAATTTCAAAGTCTAAAAATTTCTGCAATCGCTATGTGATGTGAACCATAAGGAATGCGTGTTTATGATCATACTTTGGTATTGCGTGCATTTCCAGCTGTCTATTAGTCTGCAATTCGTTTATATATACATTTTAAAGCTTTTGACAGACTTTTATTGAAATTTTAATTTCCAAGCTATAATATTGTATATTCCTGGTTCCCAGGCTATTGTAGGAGAAGAATTATAGCGTTTCAGGATTTCTGGTGCCCTTCAACACGACGAACCCAAGCGAACCTCAACACTTTAGTCATCAAAACTAAGGATAGAAATAGACTCAATGCGGCTGATGATATGCGTAGGATTTGTAGACAACTGTTCCTATATTTGAACTATTGGTGCAAGGAAAACAACAAAGCCTAATCCTACTGAGCATCTAATTGCTTACTTGATTAGTAAAGTATCATAGAAGTGATTATTATGAATGAAAAATCAATAAAATTATAAATTTACAATGTTTTGATTGTTATGAGGCATTGCTCTTGTCTTCCGAAATGCGTTCAGTCTGTAGCTTGTAAATACTCGAGAACCTATCACCAGCCCAATGAAAATAAAACAATCTAAGAAATATTTGATATGAGTTATTGCCCTTGTTCTTGGAAACGTGTAGAATGCACAATTTGGACGAAACTGGTAAAATTGTTTATTATCAACAAACGATGAACTCTATCACAATGTAACTTGTTCTTTAGCTAGTAAACACTGAAGAAGGCACAATTATTGATAAATTTGGATAAAGTTAGATAAAACTTCATAATAATCAAGTAAGAACCTCATTAAAGTGTTGAAAAATATCTTAGACTCGACCGACTCACTCTTTTGAGCTAACCGAATTGTTTGTTTCCAGATGTCAGAAAAAAAATACAGATATTGATATTGTTTGATTGTAGTATGTAGTAAAGGTTAGTAATGATACAGATGTTGACTCTGTTTGACTGAAGTATGTAGTAGAGGTCAGTAATGATACAGATATTGATAGTGTTTGACTGTAGTATGTAGTAGAGGTCAGTAATGATACAGATATTGACGTGTTTGAGTGTAGTGTGTAGTCGAGGTCAGTAATAATACATATATTGATAGTGCCTGTCTGCAGTATGTTCTCTAGGTCAGTAATAATACAGATAGTGATAGTGTCTGACTGTAGTATGTAGTATAGGTCAGTAATAATACAAATATTGATAGTATCTGACTGTAGAATGAGGTCTAGGTCAGTAATGATACAGTAATGATATTGGTAGTGTCTGTCTGTAGTATGTAGTCTAGGTCAGTAATGATACAGCTATTGATAGTGTTGACTGTAGTATAATGTCTAGGTTAGTACTGATACAGATATTGATAGTGTATGGTTGTAGTCTGGGTCAGTAATGATACAGATATTGATAGTGTTTGACTGTAGTACAATCGACCACTATCAATATCTGTATTATTACTGATCTCTACTACATACTACAGTCAAACAGAATCAACATCTGTATTATTACTAACCTTTACAACATACTACAATCAAACACTATCAATATCTGTATTAATACTGATCTAGACTACTTACTACTTATTACTGATATTGTTAATACTAGCTTTGTAACATCAACCGTTCCAATGTTTTAAAGAACTACAGGCCTGTCTCAAATTTAAGCTTCATCTCCAAAATTCTTGAGAAGTGCATTGCTTCCCAACTTCACAATCATATTGAATGTAATAATTTATATGAACCTTTCCAGAGTGCTTATAAGAAATTCCATAGTACCGAAACTGCAGTTACCCGTGTATTTAATGATATTATATGTGAAATTGATAAAAGGCAATGTGTCTTCTTGATATTATTGGATCTATCAGCTGCTTTTGACACTGTTGACCATCAAAAACTTCTGACAAGGCTTAGTCAGAGATTTGGAATAAGGCATTCTGCCCTTGACCTTATGAGTAGCTATCTGATTGGCAGAAGTCAATGTATTGTTGTGAATGGGTCAGCTTCTCAACCTTCCCAGCTTGAATACGGTGTACCTCAGGGATCTGTTCTAGGTCCAATATTATTTACATTATACACCTCTCCTCTGGGCGATATAGTGCGCAAACATGGTCTGAATTTCCATCTATATGTTGATGACACCCAATTATATATCTCCTTCTCTCCTTCTGACCCCTCATCTTTCAAAATTTCAAAATCACAACTTGAACAATGTATACATGAGATAAGACTATGGATGTCAAAAAATTTTCTCAAATCAAATAATGACAAGATTGAATATCTGCTTTTAGGATCCAAAAATCAACTTAATAATTAAATAGATCATCCATTGCGATTGGCAATCCCAATCTAAATGCGTCGCCCTCAGCCCGAAATATAGGTGTAATTTTTGACAGTAATATGCTCATGGATGTGCAGGTGAATAACATTACTAAACTTTGTTATTTTAATTTAAGGAACATTGGTAAGATCCGCAAATATTTATCTGTAAATGCCACAAAAACACTTGTTAATTCATTGATAACATCTCGTCTTGATAATTTTAATTCACTTCTTATTGGCACCCCTGAAAAACTTCTAAACGCCTCATAACTAGAACAAAACTCCATGACCATATTACACCAATTTTATTTGATTTACATTGGCTTCCTATAAAATACAGAATAGAATTTAAAATCTTATTGTTAACTTTCAAATGTTTAAACGATTTAGCCCCTGTCTATCTAACTGAGATTTTACAAATGTACTCCCCAGGAAGGACTCTACGTAGTACCAACAAACTGCTCCTTAAACCAAAAACTGCACAACTATGGGCAACGTTCTTTTTCTGTCCAGGCGCCTTTACTTTGGAATAATCTGCCATTTAGTTTAAGATCAATTACCTCCGTTAAAAGTTTTAAGAAGAAATTAAAAACACATCTCTTTACTCTGGCCTTTTCATAGAGTTAAAGTTTTTAAATTAATAATGTATCACAAGTTGTATTTTATTGTATTTTGTTGTTCGTGCTATATGTTTCCCAGTACTTTATTTTTTTATATTTCATGTATTTAGTTTTTGTTTATGTATTAGGGCCTATATTGTACAGTGTACTTGAACACAAATGTGAAAGGTGCACGATAAAAAACGTATATTATTATTATTATTATTATTATTACTACAGTCAAACACTATCAATATCTGTTCCATTACTACACTATGCTATAGTCAACAGTATCAATTGTATCATTACTGATCTCTACTACATACTACAGTCAGATACTATAAATATCTGTATCATTACTGATCTCTACTACATACTAGAGTCAAACACTATCAATATCTGTTCCATTACTACACTATGTTATAGTCAACAGTATCAATTGTATCATTACTGATCTCTACTACATACTACAGTCAGACACTATCAATATCTGTATCATTACTGACCTCTACTACTTACTACAGTCAAACACTATCAATATGTGTCCCATTACTAAACTATACTATAGTCAAACAGTATCAATATATGTATCATTACTGACCTCGACTACATACTACAGTCAAACACTATCAATATCTGCATCATTACTGACCTCTACTACATACTACAGTCAAACACTATCAATATTTGTTCCATTACTACACAATGCTATAGTCAAACAGTATCAATTGTATCATTACTGATCTCTACTACATACTACAGTCAGACACTATCAATATCTGTATCATTACTGACCTCTACTACATACTACAGTCAAACACTATCAATATCTATTCCATTACTACACTATGCTATAGTCAACAGTATCAATTGTATCATTACTGACCTCGACAACATACTACAGTCAAACACTATCAATATCTGCATCATTACTGACCTCTACTACATACTACAGTCAAACACTATCAATATCTGTTCCATTACTACACTATGCTATAGTCAAACAGTATCAATTGTATCATTACTGATCTCTACTACATACTACAGTCAGACACTATCAATATCTGTATCATTACTGACGTCTACAACTTACTACAGTCAAACACTATCAATATCTGTTCCATTACTAAACTATACTATAGTCAAACAGTATCAATATATGTATCATTACTGACCTCGACTACATACTACAGTCAAACACTATCAATATCTGCATCATTACTGACCTCTACTACACACTACAGTCAAACACTGTCAATATCTGTATCATTACTGACCTCTACTACAAACTACAATCAAACATTGTCAATATCTGTATCATTTATGCAGACATCTTCTGTATACTAGTTTCAAACACGGATAATTCACATGTGAGTTTGAGGCTCAACTTTTGACAGTGACCTGTGAACACTATTACTAATTGCCTTAGTTAAAACAATCCCGTTTCTGAGACTAAAGTATGATTGGTCAAAAAGTTAGCGTAACTGTCCCTTTTAAAAAATTATTTGTCCTGGTCGCAAAATAATTGTTCCATGCTGCATGAATCGGGTTGAAAAGATAGCGGACGGGTCATTTTTAAATGACCAAGTTTGACAATTAAATACATATTTAAACATTTTTGTCAAAATTTTGTGGATCATGGATTATTGTGTTATAAAATATTGTGGAGCGAACGGACCCAGGGCGAACGAACTATGGGCAAACATGATAAAGACCGAAAATGTATAGGGGCGAACGCGTTTAACAGTACCTAGCTAAATATAAAATTTTAACTTCATGACCTAGGCCTGCGCTTTTATGGGATTTTTATTCTTATATCACCCTAATATCCATAGGACACAACATTACAATTTTTGTGGAAATATACATTAGGTCTACTTACTCATTGGCGTAGCCAGGATTTCATTGACGGGAGTGAGGGGCACATTTAACCTCTTTTTAGCTTTTCGAGGGAACTACCCTCTAAACACGCCACTGTAGAAACTTGTAAAAACGTAGTAATATTAGGAGACACATTGCATAAAATGCAGGAATTTATTTTCAAAACTTATTCTCACACAAAATAGCCTACCCTTACGATCGTTTGGGGAAGTTTAGTCCTCAATTGATTTTGAATAGATATACTTGTAATAAGCCTGCTTTCCAATTCATTAACAAGGTTAATAATAAATTTTGACTAAATTGTAATTAAAATCTATTGCCGAAAGAACAAACGAATGTACACCAAATTTCATACAATCGGCCTTGATATTTATTTTTTTTCAAAAAGTGAATTTTTGATGAACAAATGATGAGTATTTGATTGCAAAATCGTTATTTTAAATATTTAGGTAGTTTTAAGCAAATTTTTCCGAAAAGAATATCAAGTCATGAATGATTTTATTTACCACGTCGCTGGGTGAATTGACAAAGAGTTGCACCCTTTTAACGGAAAAAACCTCCATTAGAGGATGTTATGATTATATCGATAATTGATAATAAACTCCGGTCTCTGATACTTGCATTTAGTGCTTAATTTAGGTTGGAGGCATTGTCAGATAAAAAAAATTCCACTTGGGGTTTTCTCACGAGGCTCCTTGAGATACGGAATTCAATGTCATAAAAACGATTGGTCGTGTTTTATTCTATACTTAATATATATCAATATAGTAGCTAACATATTATTGGATGTGGTCAGACGCAGTACTTATATCGGAATCACCATGGGTCTTATACCTTGACTACAATTGCCACCTTTCTTGTGTCGTGAATGTTGAACTGGGTTGAACGCTAGTAAATGCAGTCAATCAGAGACCTCGACAGAAAGTCTGAAAAAAAAGCCACATTGATCATAGTCTTTCTGTCAAGAAGGGCTCTGATTGGCTGTATTCGCTGGACATTGTGAAGATGGGTTTGGATCAGGAAGCTTTTTGTAGAATGGGAGATAATCAAAATTTTCATCGACTATGGCTTTAGACTACAATGCTTTTTTATACGCCCACATAAATATGTGGTCGTATATTGTCGTCGCCCCTGCCCGTCGGTCCGTCCGTCCGTCAACATTTCTTGTGAGCACTACAGAGTTTTCATCTGATTTTGATAAAACTTGGTGTGATGCTTTAGATTGATAAGATCTTGATCAAGTTCGAATTTGACATATTTTCGATGAACGGTTTTTTAGATATTGCCCTTGACTAAGAACGCCTTGAAATTTGTTAAAAATTGTTCGTGAGCAGGATTGAAGCTACAGTTTTCATCCCATTCTGATGAAACTTGGTGTGATCATTGGAATTGATGAGATCTCGGACAAGTTCTAACTTGACGCATTTTCGATGAACGGTTTTTGAGTTATTGCCCTTGACTTTGTTAAAACGCGTCGAAATTTGTTAAAAATAGTTTGTGAGCAGGATTGACGCTACAGTTTTCAACCGATTCTGATGAAACTTGGTGTGATCATTGGAATTGATAATATCTCGGACAAGTTCTAATGTGCGCATGACGCATTTTCGATGAACGGTATTTGAGTTATTGCCCTTGACTTTGTAAAAACGCGTCAAAATTTATCAAAAATAGTTTGTGAGCAGGATTTAAGCTACAGTTTTCAACCGATTCTGATGAAACTTGCAGTGATCATTGGAATTGATAAGATCTCGGACAAGTTCTAACTTGACGCATTTTCGATTAATTGTTTTTGAGTTATTGCCATTAACTTACGAAAAACGCGTCAAAATTTGTTTGTGAGCACAATAGAAACTACAGTTTTCAACCGATTTTGATGAAACTTGGTGTGATCATTGGAATTGATAAGATCTCGGACAAGTTCTAACAAGAGATATTTTTGATGAACATTTTTTGAGTTATTGCCCTTGACTTTGTGAACACGCTTCAAAAGTTGTTTTTTGCCCTTGATTAGAGCTGTGTGATTTAATTGTTTGTTGTATTTGGGTTATTGATATTGATTTTAAAAAATGTTGTGGAATTATTCAGCATAAATAATTTCTATGAGAAAATTCGTACTTTAGTCACTAAAGACTGTTTTATTATTTCTGACAGCTGCCAGTGGGCGTATGTTACCTTGCATCGCAAGCTATCTTTTTTAGTACAGAATAACTTTCCAAATTACATGAAGTCAACATCCTTTGCTTCAATGACCATGTACCACAATATACATGCAAATCTTAAAATCTACACTGGTGATTGTCAGAAACTGCTTTTATCCAAGGGTTAAAAGGAAAACGACAGAATTTGCAATACAAGAACATACATTTAATATCATTTAATTTTCAATTTTCAAATACATAAATAGCACTGGTGACATCAATAAAAATTGTCTTGTTAATCCAAATTTTTATGAAATAAATAATAGTGACATAAAATTATAAGCATATGTTCTAAAAGACTTAGAAGTAAAATAAATGGTACCAATTTTGATTACGTATTTTTATAACCAGTACAGTAAGTCGATCCACAGGACCCATTGACAAAAAGCTTCAAGAATCATGACAACAATTTTCATGAGGCAGTTTGCACCAGATTCAAGATAACAAGAATTTTGTCAAATTCTTTCTTTTTAGTTTTGATCAATTTTTGTACGAGAAGTCAAATTCAATAATTTCTTGGGTTTTTTCCAGGTATTTATTTAAGCAATCATAACATTCAGTTTTAAGCCTATTTTAAGACTATGAATCTTGAAACAAACCAAATGTACTATAATGAATATAATTAGGTATAGTTGTACCTTCAAATCAAATATTAAACAAGACATATATCACAGTTAAACAATAAAACATAGGTGTGAATAACAGCTAATATGATTATCTCTGTTTCTTTCTACCATTCCCCTTCTTCCCTGACTGACTAGTTGAAGCAGATGCTCCTACAATAACATGGCCATCTTGTATCTCTTCTTGACTTAGTTCAGTTGTATTTGACAGCTTCTGTTGGGCTTCAAGATAAAACATCACATCTCTAAGTTGCTCTTTTAAATCTTTGATTTCTTTATCCTTGTTTTCAGTGGTATCTTTAATTTGTGACTCCAATGCGCCAACTCTTTCTTGCCACTGTGATTGATTTTCTCTCAGACATTTATTCATCTGCTTCTCGTCTTGGAGTTCAGTTAAAGCTTTTGTCAACCTTGAATGTAAATTGGAGCATCTCTTTTCTAGGGACTGTTTCTCTTTTGATACTTCTGTTAAAACATAGCCTTTATTGTCTAGTTCCTCCATCTGTGTTGTCCATCTTTTAGACAATTCATCTACCTGTTCCTTATACTGTTTAGTAACTTCTAACATTTGGTCTTCAAAATATAAACGTTGTGAATCAAGCTGTGTGGTCAGTAAATTGGTATACTCTAATGTTAAAGTGTCTAATTTCTCATCTTGTACAATATTTCCCCCTTCATCAACTTCTACCAGTTTCCCATCTGATTTATTCTGAACTAATCTATGTACATAGTTATCTCCTGCATAATCCCAAACTTTATTATTACCAAGTTGCATGGCATATGTATGGTTTGTCTCTTGAAAATGTCTATATGCATGAAGTCCAACATAACGTCCACAACCAACGTGACCACAAATTAAACAAATCCATAAACTTTCATGTGAAGAACATTTCATACAACGATTGTCAACAGTTTCTTCTGGGGTCTGAACATAACGACATACAGGACAACTAGTATCACCCCATTTCTGCAAACAAGACATATGGAATGCATGATTGCACAATACAGTTAATACTCCATCAACAGACTCCTCCATTCTTTCCAAACATACAGGGCAATTGGGTAGTTCTGTTACACCTGGTATAGGTTTGGCTGCACCTTCCGATTCTTTCATAACCTCAACTTGAGATACATAAACTAGATGGCAGATATCTGGTTCTATTGAGTTAAAGGGTCTATTGTTAAAATAACTATAGAATTCATCGCAAGCCTTCTGATTACTGAACTTTAATAAAACCATATACTGATTCGGTTTCTTATCTCGAATTATCTGCATGTGCTCTATACATGAGCTCATTGATGAAGTAAAATTCAACAGGTCATGTATGGTATATGATGCTGGAACAGCCAATATACAAATCATTTCACTTCTCGATACCCCTTCATCAAGTGATGTCAGATGATTATCTTTATAAATGTGAAGAATTCCTTTGGTTAACTCAACACATGGGTTACCAGAATAGAAATGCAAAGTAGTAGTTGGAGTGGGACTATGACTTTTATTCCGGAAAGGTTGGAATATACTGGGTTTGTTGGTTATTTCTCTGGAAACTGAATCCTCTCTGGAATTTGATGATGAATGGTCCATTTCATCATGAGGTTGACTACACGATTTGGCTATGTCAGGATTTGTGTCACCGCTATCACTTTTCCTAACATCTAACGTTTCATTCAGCATCTCTGAAACTTCCATCTCTGACGTGACATAAAACTCCAGACTGATGTCACAATAAGTTCTCTTGCCATGAAATTCACACAACTCTGCCGTGTATTTGTGGTTGATAGGCTTAGAGGAAACAATAGATGCGTAAGATGACTTTTGTTTTTCTGATTGTAACTTTATCTTGTTATCAAATCCTGGAGCACAGTAACGTTTTAATACTTTGGGAATGCTTGTTTCATCAGCTATTTCTAGCCGAAGTAAAACAAGTGAAACCTGCATTTGGTAGCCATTGATCGAAAATGACACTGAATAGCGGATTGTCTTTGAATGCTCGATAAAAGCAGATTGCAAACCATGAAACCAGATACTTGAGTCTTAATTAACTACTAATTCAAAATCCCAACAACAATCGGTACAGTTATTACAATGCAACTGATGTTTTTAGCAGAAATATAAAATTTTGGTGTTAAGATGTACTGAGACGAGTCTCAATGAAAGCATTGGGTATTAGGTTACTTCGTAAACAAAATGTCCATATTCCGCAATTAAGCCGTATATAATGCAATAAGTCTGGATAATCTCGAGTATTTGTTTTACACTTTTCGTAGCTATTAAATTTTATAAAACTAAGGTCATTTATCGTTTGATTTTGTATTGAATACCATAATGTACATTAAATGATAAAGTTTGTGTTGTTATTCGTGATGTTTTGTGTATGATAATAGATAATAGATGATATTCAAATCCTCTTTTAGAAAAAATTGCCAAATTCCATTACGATTGTTGCACACTAAGACCATGGTTGTCCTGAGTAAGTCTGGAAAACAAAGACTGTTTATCTTGTTTCCGTTTCAACCGGAAGTTTTTCTTTTGTGCACATGCGCTTTGGAATGTGTACATTAAAAGAAACAAGATAACCTGATACTGATACTGTCAATCTGTGTATAATTATTGTTATCTCTAAAGTTTCAAAAATTACAACATTTACATTATATATGCATAAATGAAGTTAAGTAGGTAGATATTTCCATATTTTTCTTTGCTGTGTTTTGACTAAGATCTGATGCATTTTGCACTGTAGACGTAGTCTTGTAATGTAAGTATGAGTACGGTAGAGAACCAGTAGGCCTATAGGCTATATTAGTATATAGCATAGGCTAATAATGTATACAAGTACAAAGACTGCTTAGGCCTAGTAGGTCGTACTCATATAAGTTATATGCTTAGACCTACTCCATCTTTTACACTTTCTTACTACTACCCCATAGAACGGCATGTTGGGGGAAAAGGGGGAAACCACAATGGGAGGAACTTGAAACCACTGTAAGCCCATAGAACTATAATATAGTGGTGTAACCTATTTTCGGGGATATAAGGATTCAACACCGAATTTTGTCAAAGTTAAAAAACAAATTTTTTTTTTTATGTCTTAGATGTTTCCTCATATATTCTATAAAATACCGGTAATTATAGTGTGATTTATTGCTAAAAGTCACTGAAACAACGTAAGAATATGGTCCACTTTGTGTTCCATAGAAATTTTCTGCTGACACGGAATCCGCTAGTTGATCACGTGACTTCATTCGCTTGACTACATTCTAGCAGACAACACTTGGAATTCCGATTAACGCTTGGGATTATAAGGAAATTTGGCCAATAAAAAATGGTGACGCTTGGTAATAAGTGAAATCCGCCATTTTATATTTGTCAAAGTATACATTAATACATTTTACATTGCTTGAAACTACTGAATTCATTCTACTAGCTGACATTGTAGAGAAAACCCATGTTTATCAAAACAAACTAATGCGGAGGTCATGGGAGGTTTGCACATGTAAATTATTAATCCTTTCAGGAAATCCACGAAAAATAGGTTTCCACGAAATTAGGTTACTTGACTGTATATTATACCAGAATCTTTATATGGCAGAGGAGCTTACTGGACTCTGCAGTGGGTGGAGTATGTGATGGAAATAACACTCATTCTCAGTAAAACTTTATATACCGGTACAAATAATTACAAATCACATAAATAAAGCGGTCGTACATTCAAAGTAGCTACCAAATAGTATATTAGTCTTAGAGTTTATTAAAATGTACCACAAACACAAGGAAATATTATGGATTAATATATAATTTTTGTAAGTTTGCATTGAAAAGAAACACATTTCTCTCCTGCTCATGTTTATATTTTTGTCAATGCAAAGACATTCTAAGACTAGGAGTACCGGTACTATTGTAATTCCAATTCTCATAAAAATAATGGACAATTTCAAAAAACCTCAAACTTAGTCTCTGACAATAGATGATTAGATGGGTTACTCAATGCAGATATAGCATAAGATAACACTACTGCAGGCTGCACAACATGGAAAATGACCGTCTGACTGAAGACATCATTAACTGGGCCTTAAAGATAAACTCAAAGATAAGCAAATCTGGTAAAGGGGGAAATAAATTAGGAATTTGAGGCTATTTATTTCCCAGAGAATCAATTAAACCCTTCTCATCGCAGTACCTTCGCAAAATTTAGGTGTAGCCCCAATACGAAGGCATCCCCATTGAAAATAGAGCGTATTTTAACTGCCCTAAATAAATTGAGAATCCCACATAAATGAGATATACATTAGAAATGATCATAAGATATTCGTTTGACTAAATATAAAAGTGTAAAATTAAATTGTATTGGCCTAGTTAATTTGTTATTTCCTTGGTAGTTTTTATAATGTTATCTTTATTTAGACTATATCCTGTTATTAATAACCTCCCATTTCATTTGCAAAATTAACATTGACTTGCTTTTTAATTTGAAATTATTTCTTTTCCTCATTTTTCTTTTTTGGTTTTGTTCTCAAACATTAAATATTAGCTTAGTTTTTGTTTCAGCTGAACTATTTTGAATAAGATTGTTGGTTTAAAAAAAGGGATTATATCAACCTAGTGAGATGATTTGATTTCTAAAAAAAATTTATTATTATCGAGAGTGTAGTGTGTATACTTGTTTCATTCCATCTGTCTTCTGTTTGGAGTTTAGTGTTTGAGTACCATCAAGGCATTGTCCAGTGTTAAATATAATAGTACATAGTACACAGAACTAAAACTAAGTTTCTAAAACTATAGACTGTGTAAGTTACATTAGATATCTTGACATTTTAAAATCAAAAAAGGGGAATGAAACTTGTGCTTTTGTGGCAAAATTGCCTTCATTGCTTGCTGCATGCCTCTAAATTAGGGTAATAAGCCCTGGTTCATGTCATAAAAGTTTGTGTTCTGTAAACATAATGTACCCAGTAATGAAAATACATACTAGTATATATGCAGTGACCTTTCACAACACCTGTATCATAACATTTCATATCGTTTATATATTATAGTTAAATAACATCAGTCAATGTTTTATACTCCTTGTATAATTAATATAATAAATGTTTTAAATTTTGATATTTTAGGGTTTTGTTATGTAAAAGTGGTAGAAGCATCAGGAAGTTGTAAAGGATGTATATTATGAAAATTCTTTTGAAATGTATTGTATTACAGTGAGTTATTAACATACAACATGACCTATCATAATAGTTTTACATCATGGTATATTAAACTTTAACCTTTATCCATGGAACTGAAATTAGGACTTAACGTTGAACTGGGTTTTCTCGGCATGTATTGCCGCAGTAGTTTAATTGTGTTGAGTAATATATGTGCAAGATGTTTTTGTCGAAAGAGATTTACTTTAACACGATTATTAGTGATTTTATTGATCATCAGTGTTATAACTACCATTTTTTCAATTTCTTATCTCAATGTTCATTTACGATCAACCAAAAGACGGAAAATCCCACCACTCCCATTGTCCCCATGTCGGGCAAACATTACCGATATGAAAAACCCTTTCAAGAAAATATCACATCATACAAAAGATGTGTTAAGATTTGGTGAAAAAGTGTTGGTGTTGGTTGATTTGCAGTTCTCGAAAGCTGGAACTAAAATAATACGTCTATTAGAGGCTGTCAGAATAGAATATAAAGTTGTATCAACTGGACGTAATTTACCAACATTAACCCACTTAGACGAGGGCAAATTTGCTGTGATTATCTTTGAAAATTTTAATGCATATATTAATATGGATAATTGGAATCGACAGTTATTAGATAAGTATTGTTTAGAATATAATGTGGGTATAATTGGATTTGTACCATCAACAACTGACATGATCACAGAAATAGTACCAGGTTTTCCTTTAACCATGGAATATAATCAAAAATTACAAGACTATAAATTAAATCGCTTTTCTGATGTTTGGAGAGTGACAAAAGCTTCTCAGTTTTATGAGGGGCGTTTACCAGGAGATTGGACTGTGTTTCGGACTAACCATTCAACATACGAACCTTTATCATATTCAAAAAAACAAAGTCAAAAGTTTTCTGTGAGTATAGAAGATGATGATAACAAACCAGTATCACCAGTGATCTATGATAGTGGGAAAATAGACAATATTAAACGTATATTATTTGGCAGTACATTAAGATTTTGGTTACATCGGTTGTTATTATTAGACAGTATATCATATTTATCTCATGGTAAATTAAGTGTATCATTAGATAGGTATATACAGATTGATATAGATGATATATTTGTTGGTAAAGAAGGCATTCGAATGTTAGTTGAAGATGTAGAGGTAATGATATTATTTATTTATTTTCATTTTGTGCTGATATAGCTCTTAAACTTTTCAAGTTATTTTTTTTAACCAATATAAATCTTATTTCAGACAATTTGAATTAGGAATGACATTGATTTTGTAGTTAACTATAGATAATCTTGTCTTTTTAATTTGTCTTGTATTCAATTGCTAGAGTTGTTATCATGTGTATTTTTTGCTTAATTGTGTTTATCTTTTAGGCTTTGGCTCAGAAACAGGAGTTGTTTCAACAGATAATCCCTGGTTTTCATTTTAATCTGGGATTTTCTGGCAGATATTACCTTCATGGTTCTTATGATGAAGATGCTGGAGATAAAAAACTTTTAGGTAAGTTGCTGGAAAATGTTACATCTCATGTTTTGCAAGTTTTGTTTAAGAAACCCACATTGAAGATGAATATACTTTTACACCACATATTGCTTCAGATTTTAACTGATTTTCATATATTTCATTTTTTACACAGAATATAGAGACAAGTTTTGGTGGTTTGGTCATATGTGGAGACATGAACAGGCCCATAAATTTAACGAAGAAGCTCTCACTCTCGCAATGCAGCAGAATAAGAAATTTGCACAGGTAAAAACTTACATTTATATTCTTACAGAAAACTAGTTAAAATGTCATCCTGCATCACTGACATCTTCACAAATTATCGATTTATGAGTGATTGGCCTTGTACTAGAACCTAAGTTTGGCGTTTCCCAAAATGCAACAAATTTGACCTAGTGCTGTTTGCTAATATGTGACCTTTTCAGATAGCACACTTTGTTTATGATTTCAGTAGATTGTATACCTTTTAAACTGTATCCTCATCACATGTTTTGTTTATGATTTCAGTAGAAATTGTATACCTACTTAATTGTATCCTCATCACACGTTTTGATTATGATTTCAGTATAAATGGATACCTTTCAAACAGGATCTTCATTCCATATTTATAATTTCAGGAGAATTTTATACCAGTCAAACAGAACTATGCTGTAGCTCCCCATCATTCAGGTGTTTATCCTGTACATGAAGAATTATATAAAGCCTGGAGAAATGTATGGGATGTGAAAGTTACTAGTACAGAAGAATATCCGAAATTAAATCCTTCCTTGAGAAGAAGAGGGTTTATATATAAAGGAATCATGGTGGGTCATGGTTATTATTGTTATAATATATATCATATTGATATTTCAGATATTTACATCAATTTGAGCTATTAAGTGCTTTTGCAATATCTTAAGATGCTTGAAAAAAGTTGTTCTTCAATCAATTTTGGATACAGTTTTCTTTTTACCAATAGTGTGCCAAGATTGGCATTTTTTTGACTGATTTAACTTTCATATCTGATTTTTGATTATTTTACATCTTCAGGTTTTACCACGACAAACATGTGGACTGTATACTCATACACTGGTGTTGGATGATTATCCTGGTGGTAAAAAAGGATTAGATGATAGTATAAAAGGTGGTGAATTATTTCAGTCTATCCTCTATAATCCTGTAAGTTTTTTATTTCTCATGCTTGCTATTTTCGTAGACCACTGTACCTCTATACTATGTTGGTTTACATCATGTTGGCTTGTCATCAATAATTAGTTTCTGTACTGAAAGTGAATGCAGCTTGTTATATCCTCTTTGTGTATTGAACAACTTTTTACATTAATTTTGGGGGATTTTTTTGAGCAGCCAATCCAACCCGAAAAGGAAAAGAATTTTGAAAATACTAGGGTATGAAAATTACCAAATTGATTAGTCCAGTAGTACAGAAAAAGAAAACGATAGAATTAAGATTTGTTGTAGAATCTAAGAATTTTAATTCACTACAAAAAATTCTTTGGAAAAAATAGGAAACAATAAATATTTTTTCCAAAACACCCATTCTTCTGAGGATAAATACATTAGGGTTGTTGCTACTAGAAATAAATGATTTCACTGTATTTTCTCAATCAGTTTTTGATGTTTGATACAGAGTATATTGACTACTGTTTTTCAGATAACTATATTTATGACTCATCTATCTAACTATGGTAATGATAGGTTAGCTCTATATACTTTTGAAGGTGCATTAAAGTTCTTGAAATGTTGGACCAATTTTAATCTAAAATCTCTACCTCCACTTCAATTGGCTTTAAAATATTTTGAAATGTTCCCTGAAGAACGAGATCCAATATGGCAGGTGAGAGCATTGTTTTTAAATCTTAAATCTGTGCTAGAGATTGTATACCTCAAAATATTTATAGATTTCTGTAGTTGAAAAATATAGAGTGTAGTGGTAATCATCATTGGTTTCATTCATTCATTGTTAATTTCCATGTTTTGAAAGAATTTTTTTGTGTTTTGTAAGTAATTTAAGCAATATTGCTTTCATTCTTTTATGATTTGTTATTATTTATATTTTTTATTGCAGAATCCATGTAATTATAAAAGACATCTTGTGATATGGTCTGCTAATAAAACATGTGAAAAGTTACCTAGTTTTATGGTAGTAGGACCACAGAAAACAGGTTGGATTAGATTTATTTTATAGACTTTTATATATTTGGAAAGATTAGTAGAATTTTTAGAAGAGATCTGTTTGCCATTTCGTGATATCATGCATTCTCAAGAACTAAACAAAACTGAAATGGATATATTTCAGCGAGTTTATTGTCTTTGTAGAATGGATGTCTGAATCAACCTCAAATCTAGATCAATTGATACAGTCACTTGCAGTGACAACAGTTTTATTTATTTTCAATATTAAAATTAAATTTGTTTTTGAATTTGTCTAATATTGTTTTATAGGAACCACAGCTTTATATACATTCTTAGCCATGCATCCAGGTATAGTTAGTAATTATAATAGTCCAGATACATTTGAAGAAGTCCAGTTTTTTAATGGTAATAATTATTATAAAGGTTTAGACTGGTGAGTGGTTATTTGTATCTTATCTTAAAAGTTAGTATGAAAAATGAAAATGGTTTGCAATATATGTTTTTTCTATTTGAAGTAAACTTGCCATTTTCATCTTTACATGTTTTGTTCATAAATATATTAAGTAAAGTGCTCAATTAGCATTATTAGTGAAAATTGTTGTGTCATTTTTGTAAATGTTTCTCCTGACATTGAGTTTTCTTTTTAAGGTATCTTGAATTCTTTCCTGATCCTTCCAACTCTACCTCACCAATAATCTTTGAAAAAAGTGCAACATATTTTGACAATGAAGTGGTACCACAGCGAGCATTTTCTCTACTTCCTAAAGCTAGAATTATCTGTATATTACTCAACCCTGCGAAAAGAGCTTATTCTTGGTATCAGGTAAGTTACATTTCTAACTTTAGAAATACATTTTTGTGATTCTGAAATAAAGATAGTTTTTAAAGACTTTTAAACTACTTCCATGTACCTTGACATTTCTGTAATTAATTATGAGTTCACACACCTTTTGGTTACCTTCTTGTATTCCATTTGATTATTTATAAATCTATTAAACCTATAAAACATGTTTTCATAATGTACCATATGTCATTTTGATAAATCTATTTGAATATATACTTATCTAACAGCATATGAGATCCCATGACGATCCCACGGCATTAAGTTACAGTTTTTATGATGTTATATCAGCAAGTGATATAGCTCCTAGAAAATTACGAGATCTAAGAAATCGGTGTTTAAACCCAGGAATGTATGCCCAACATTTAGTTAGATGGCTAGATTATTATCAACCTTCACAGGTAAGAAGATCCTCTTTTGTAGGGAAGCAAATTCATTCCCCCTGTCATTGAGGTTGGAAGCCCTTCATAGCGGGTGCTGACATGAGAAATGTGCCTACAAATATAGCACTATCAACTGAGGCTTTGTCTGTTGAAGGCTGTGCATATTAAGGACCTTCAACAGTAGGAATTCAAAAAGCCTCTGTTCTGGCAATGTTACCTTATTTCTCACTGCATGTTGTTTGCACAATAACAAAGATTGCCATAAAACACCAATTTATTACATTTTCTGAATCAAATGCTTGTTAGAGTCGACTCACTTTGCACCAAATATTATCTTAAAAATTGCTTTAAGATGGACTTAATTATCAGTCTTATGGAATTGAAATAAAATCTTTGTATTTTTTTAAAAAAAATCAATTCATTACTGATTATTTATGTATATATTATGTAATATTTTACTGTGATAGATCTTTATTATTGATGGTGAACAGCTCAAAAATGATCCTATTAATGTCATGCATAGAGTTCAGAGGTTTTTACAAGTTGAAAAGTATTATGATTACAGTCAGCATCTCAGGTAAATTTCACTGTACCTTTCTACATTAACTGCTTTAATTTAGGTATCTTAGCTTTGTTTTTAATAGACAATAACTGACACCCTGAGATATTCAAAGTTAATCTACCATATTCCTTAAATATGAATTTTCTCCATCATTGAAATTTCAAGTTGCAAAAGCATAACTCAAGTTTCAACACAATTGAATCTAGAAAGCAATACATTTAATGATAGTTTTAACTAATTTTATCTTGTTAAAGACTAATGANACTATTTTTTTGTAGGTATGATCCTAAGAAAGGGTTTTTCTGTGAAGTATTGAGTAATAAT